GTTATGTATACAATAAGCTTTGCGATCCACAAATCTATTCTAATTGCACTTTACCCTCCTTTGGTTGAAGATCTAAGACTCCCTGCTTAAGTTCCTTATGCTCCGTAAATAAAGATAGATATATTCATGATCCCTAATTCTTACTTAGCTGTAACTTGACATATTTCGTTCCATTGCTGATATTGATTAGTGTTTTTTTTTTTCATTAAAACTCATTTTAAATTATTGTTTTTTTTTTAATTTTCGCATTTAATCATAGCTTTCTTTTCTGAAACATGTATCATAAGGCTCTTAACTAAATATAAACCTATGTTCCCTTAAATGTATGAGGACAATTTAACGGTTCTTTTTTTAATATAATGCAAGATTCAGTATCCTATATATTTGATCTTTAAGCCCAATTCCGTAACTTATGAGATCTTAAACATTTCTTTTTAATTATTTCGATAGTTTCTTTTTCTTACAAATATTTCGTTACACCTCGTTAATTTCCATTATTTCCAATTGGAATCCAATTCGAAGACTTCCATTTAGGTAATTTTCTCAGTGTATGTCTAATTCTTATCAGCTTGTCAGCTGTACAAACTAAAATATCATTTAAGTTTTGTTTCTTGATAAGCTCTTTTTTTCGTTCTTTCAACAGAATTAGCTGTTGTATTCGCTGCGACTCGAAACTGTGGCAGAGTTTGAAAAGGGCCAGCTAAAAATAGCGTTAAGATTTCGATAGCCACCCCCCCTCATATCAGATATAACTATAATTTATAAGACTCTCAACAGGTATGCCAGGTGTGATACGGATCTTGCTTAGCTTCCAAAAAAATATGCGCACAGTTATTAGCCAAGTCAACAACAAAATGTATATATGACATAATGTTGTTTTAGCCAAACATTTTGCGGCTTTTCCTGTTGGCACAGCTGTTTCTGGGTTCCATTCGCCTTGGGCTCTGGCGTGCCCCAAGCGGACGCCGTGTGCAGCCCTGGTCGCTCTGGCTATGTTGTCGCATGGCAAGTATTTTTCTTTCTTGGACTTGGACATACTATATAGCGCTCGTCCGTGAATTTTCCCCGTGCATACAGGGCGTTCCAGTTGATGCCCAGTGCTGCACCGACTCCAAGCTGAAGAATTCTACCAGGTCGGAGCACCAGCTGAAGCAGCAATAGCTTCATGAGCTTCAAGGCCTTCGTTTGCTTGGGCACATTTTCGAGAAATGCTCGTGGCCCTGTATTATAAAATATACTGTGAGCATAAGTGTAGCTGTGTGTGTGTGTGTGTGTGCGCAACTTTGTGTCGCTGTCTGTCTGTGTGTGTGTGTGTGTGTGTGTAAGTGTGAGTGTGCGTGTGAGTGTGCGAGAATTTAAGCTTAAAGCTATTGTACACTTGGTGTCGTGTCTGCCCGTTCTTGTCCTCGCCCCGCATCCTCGTTCTCTCTCCCTGTTCATATCCTTACAGGCGGCAGGCGGCTGTGGCAGCAACAAAAATGACGTTGCTTTTGCTGTCGCCGTCGACGCCAGCTGCCCGCGTCTCTGCCGCCGCCCCTGGCAGCGTCTACTCCAGCGCTTTGCCAACGCATTTTGTTTTGTTTAGAGCGCAAGTTGTGTGTGTGTGTGTGTGTGTGTGGGCGTTCAAGACAGGCAGCATGCCTCATGCGGCATGTTATTTGGTACCTGTCGGCATAGGCATCGGCTGCCTCTGCCCTTGCCTCTGCCCCTGCCCCTGCCGCTGGCAATTTTTGAATGCGCTGCACTCTTTAAAGTTGGCAGCTTTGCAGCTCGCTTTAAGGCTCTGGCATTACAGACATTACGTGGAGCCTGTTGTTGGCGCAGGGACAGCACGCCGGAAGCAGCTCTGCAACCCCCAAGAAGCACACACACACACACACACACACACACAGATACACGCGCACGCACGCACCTTAACACATATTTCCACTTCCTTTTCATTTTCAGGCCAAATGAAAAATTGCACACGCGGGAATTTGATTTTAACATGAGAAGTAAATACAATGACGTTGACGTCGACAGCGACGGCGACGGCGACTGCGACGCCAGCAGCGCAGTAACTAAAATGGTTGGGGGTTGACATTGCTTCAGTTGGGAGGGAGGCCTTGTGACAGTCGATAGTTTTGACTGAATACGCTCCGCTCGTCCTTGCTCGTGTCGATAATGATTTAATTAGGGCCTGTGCGATTGGCCTGTGCGTCCCTGCAGCCGGGCCCACCCCTCCGGCCCAACCCCTTTGGCGTTTCACCTGTGTAATTGATTTATGGGCCGTGCGCTGCGCTCAATGATTGCAATTTGTTGCTCATTTGTTGCAGCTATGCGCAACGCGGCGTCAGATAAACGCAGAGCGGATCAAATTCTCAACCCCTTTAAGCCCCCAGCCCCTCACACACACACACACGTAGAGCCAACCCCCTTTTGCCAAGACAACGAAACGGCAGCAGTTCGTGTAGTCGCATTCCTTGTCTAATGCCGGAATTTCAATTTAAAGCCTTAAACACTAAACTTGATTACGCGCGACTCACTGAGCAGCAACTGCCAGGAGATAGAGAAGGACCTCTTTGTATGTGTGTGTGTGTGTGTTTTTTTAGGGGAGGGTAGCTTTGTGTCCTGCTCCATTGTCTTTGATAGTAGGGAGAATGGGGAAGGGGAGAGGCAGAGGGGGGGGCATTTCTCGCATGAACAGCAAAAGTTACTTTTGCTCTGTAACTGGGATCAAAGTGACATAAGTTCAGCGCTCAGCTTCAATTTATTTAATGCCAAAAACTTTTAATGTAATTAAAACGGATAATGCCTAAAACGCGCAAAACTTTAAAAACGCGCGATGGGCGCCGCAGCCGCCGTCGAGCTTTAAGTGCGTGAGAGCGGAAAGAGGGGGCCCATCTCCCCCTCAGTAACATACACGTGCCATAAAGCGCTCAAGTTACTTGCTGGGATTACACATTGCCCTGCTAAAAACTTTTCTAGGGAATACAAGTATATATATATATATGTATATATCTAGATAAGCATACATGTGTGTGTGTGTGTGTGTGTAAGGGCATGCTGTCCAGTTTTGACGATCGCGCTGGGCCCTGTGCCAGCTCGGCTGGTCAGCGCAGCGGGCCAATGCGGCGTATGCGTCATGTAAAACTTTACGCCAAGGCAGCCAAAGGAGTCTCTAACATTTTCGAAATGCTGCACATTTTTGTTGCTGACTACGACACAAATACACACACACACACAGGCAAGTGTAACAAAAGCAGCGGACAGGGCAAAGGGGGGTGGTGGTGGGGCGAGAGCCGTTAGGGTGGAGCAGGATGTGCGAACGGTCGCACAGACGAGTCGGAAGCACGGACAAACAAACGGATAAGAAGGCAAAGCAGCAGCCGGGGCAGGCAGCGGCAAAGGACGCAGGACGAAGGACGAAGGACGAGCCAAACAAACGTAACGAAACGAAACGAAACGAATAGAACGTACAACGTACATGAAGAAGATAAGCGCACAGAGCGTCGCTGATAACGCAAGTTGTGCTAGCCGGCAACAGGACTTGTGCCGTGCAGGCGGGGACCTACCCAATGCCTGAGGCAGTCCAGCATAGACAGACAGACAGACGGACGTACGTAGAGACACAGTTGCTCCATGGAGCAGGAGGACTTGTGAATTTTAACATTTTAGAGAAAAGCGAACGAACGAAATTTTCGAATGTCAGCGTCGACTGAAACGAATTGTTGGGGCCGCTGTTGGAGCATGTCTAGCTGGGGTTGGCGGCGGCTCGAGCTGTGTGTGGGGCGTGGCAGTGTGTAAGTAGTAGCAATGCAAGGCAGCGGCAGCGGCAGCGGCAGCGGCTGCTGCGAAGCTGGAACGAAACAATTTGTAATTTATTTGCGAAGCGTGCGAAAGTTGAGGCAGCTGCCAAAGGCGTAGCCAGAGATGGCGATAGCGATGGCGCAACTGTGCCAGGCCGAAGGAGCAGCAGCCAACAGCAGATACAGATGATGCCAACACGCACACACACACACATAGGAAAGCACACACATTTAGTTAGCGCCGTGTGGGTGGCCCTAGAAGTTGTGGTAGTTGGAGGGGGGGTAGGGCAGGAGAATTATATATATTTTTTTTTTTTTGGTGCGGGGGGGCTGTTGGGCTACTTGGACCGTTTTAAAGACAACATGTTTAAGGTTTGGTTTTTGAAATTTATTTAAAACTTTTACGCTTAACACAATTTGAAATTTGAGTTATTTTGTGTTTGTGTGTGTGATTTTTAATTAGTTAGTTTTATTTGTTAGCTAGCCTTGATTTAATTATGTATATTGTTTGCTAAGTATATAAACTATGAACTTTAAATACTTATTACAAATATATTAAGCTGCTGTTTACGTTGACTTCTCTTCTTCGTTTCTTGGAAGTTCCCGTTTTTGACTATGTTACTCAGTCCGGCAGTTTTGAAGGAGCTTTTTGTGCGAAGCTTTTGCCAATTTAAAGACTTGAACAACTTGCTGAAGAGCACGGTGTATGTGCGTGTGTGTGTGTGTGTGTGAAGGAATACTTTAAAAGTAATTTAAAACATGCATATCTAACCCATTTATCCATTACTAAAAAGTATATCAAAATTCTTTGATTCAGCTAAATACGTTCTATATGTGTATATATATATATATATATAATATATATGTATAATATATTTGTATGGCCAAGCTTGAAAACTTTGCTAAGTATAAAAAATTGTTGTAATTATTGCAACTATTGTATTGTTTATTTTCTGTGCCTGTTAGTTGTGTGTTCTTATCGAGGGCAACACAAACAAACTGAACTGTGTGGGCTATCGTTATAGTAGTATGGTCTTTAGGTATTTGCTTAATCAGTCTTGTATACAAAAACAAAAAAAAACAAAACAAAAATCATTTAAATTAGCAAATTTTCTAAGTATTATTCACATGGCTACGGCCTATTTCGTTGTCATGCAGCATTTAACTAGGCAAAAATTGTTATTGTTAGTAAATTAATAATAATACATAACATAATGATGAAAAAAAACACAAACCATTTAATGGAGACACTTGAACTTGGTTATTGGATCTGCTGCTGCAACCTACATACAGCTACATACACAGTCGTAATACAGACAAATTGAGAATCAGGTATTCTTTTCACATTTTTTTGTTGTTGTTGTTGTTTTGTTGTTTACATAAACGAGCGTCGTCGCTTTGTCTGCCCATTGAATGGGCGTGTTGTGAACATAGAACATTTCGCAGTTGCACTTATTCGAATTATATTTTCAATTTGACACTTATAAACAATAGATTTGTAGAACATATATAAATATGTATGTATAAGATGCGCTTACAAATCAATAAATTAGGAATCAAATATTACAATACGAGACAGTTGTTGTTTTTTTTTGTTTTGTTTTGTTTTCATTTTGTTTGGTTGAAAAACATATATGTATATATATACAAGGTTCTCGACTTCACATTCAATTACATTGTTTCTCGTTCGAGAATGCAGCGGAGCCACAGCGTCTTTTAAATGCAGTCATTGGCTACTAAAGCCAGTATAAGTGGAAGTTCTTATGCATGGGGATCATCGTCAGATGCTGTGGCTGCTGTTTTACAGAACATGAATATCGCTTAATACTTGCTAACTTAAGAACAGGCTATAGATTTACAATTGTACTTAGGCCTAATATTAGAATTTACAATTTTTAGTTGTACACTAAGACGACATTAGATTCGCGTGTGTGTGTGTGTGTATGTGAATAGGGGACGGAGACGGGAAAGGAATCGTGGCCGTTCACCGACAGAGAATATCTTTAAGCACATATATATATCTCTCAATACATATATAAAAGAAAAAAAAAAGGATATAATTGGGAACACAAATTACGCGCTTATCATTTAAACCTAACTCCGGCTATCGTTGCTCTCGCTGAAGCTCTGTTCACTCGACTCACGCCGGCTGCTCACCGGCTTGGCCTTGTATTCTGTGATGAAAACGGTTACCGAATTCACGGTCACCTCACGCGTCTGCGCCGTCGAGCGATCCACGTTCTTCAAACGCGCTGGATACCGTTTGTGTCGCTGCCTGTCGTGCCCGCTGCCATGCCGCGAACTGGACGCCGGTTTGCCGTTGGGCATGTTACCACTGGCGCCGGGCAATGTGGCCGCCTGCTGAGCGACTAGCGCCGAGTTCAGGCGCGGTTTGCGCGTCGAGGTGCCTAGCAGCAACCGCAGCAGCAGCACCAGGAGAAAAACAGAAAAGGGAAAATGAGACCAAGCATAAACAGTAAAACGAGAGGGCGATACTATGCCACCGCATCACATGAGCGATTGGGTTTTTTTTTTTACAAATTACTCGCAATTCAAATGCGACGTTGGCGTTGACGTTGACGCGGCGTCGCAGTCGCAGTTGGCTCTAAATCGAAATCGAGGTCACTCACCTTTTCTCACGTCACACATGCGACACTTGAACGCCTCCGCCGAGTTCCTGTACGTGCAGACGCTGCAGTCCCAGAAATTCTCCTCAATTACTTTCGCTTGGCGCTTTTGTCGTCGCACGGGCGAGGATTTTTTGTCCATAATAATAACGCTGACCAAAGAGATGTCAAATGCAGCTGGCCGAATTTTTGCAATTGTTGTTGTCACTGCTGCTGCTGCTGCTGCTGCTACTGTTGTTGTGGCTGCTCTTGCTGGGCGCAGCAACAGAAAGGCTCGCAAACGGTCACTGCAGCGCTGCTGGCTTACAAAATGTGCACAATTTACGCTTAATTACTCCATTCATCTGCAATTGGCGAATATTAGCTGCTTTTTTCGGGTGAAAACTTTCTGCAATTGTCTTCTGGCCAAATAGAAAATTGTTGCGGAGTTGCCGTATGTGACGCGAGAATAAACACAAAATGTTGCTGAACTACCGCAATCCCTATCGATATATCGGCGGCAATGTATCGATAGGCAAAACATCGCTAAGTATCTGATAAAATATGCTTTGTTTATTTACGAATTTTGTTTTTGTTTCTAGTTTTCATGCAGCTCTTTGAATTAAAAACACCCATTTTAAATATATATTAAAAACACATTTTTATTACAAAAATTGACATTGATATTTACATATACCTCATTTGTCCTAAATCTAAATATAAAATTTCATCTTAATATTAGATAATATATATACATGTTTTCATTTAGCTTATAATTCACATTTTACTTAGATATAACTATGATCAAATCTATTGCTCCAGCATATTCTCAAAGTCCTTCAGCTCCAGCTCACGCTCTATGACCTGCGTGTAGAGATTATCAAGCGTTTCCTGCATCCTCTGCTTCAGCGTGGCATTCTGAATGGACGCAATTTCGGTTGACTTTTGCGATTGTTGATTCTTCAGTTCGCTTATTTGACGCGTCAGCTGATTGATCTTGTCGTGGATTTGCTGTTGTGTATACTGTGGTTGCGGCTCATCCATGAACTCCAGATTCTCGAACTCCTCACGCTTGGTCATAAGCTGATTGTCATAGAAACCGCTGGGCGCAGCCAAATTCGAGCTCGAGCCGGCTGCACTCAGCTTTGGACTGCTGTTTTCGCGTCCGAACATCGACTTGTTGAACTCATTGTGCTCCATCTTAACGCCACTGTTGCTAGCGCCGCCGCCAACGCCACCGCCGCTGGCAGCGCCAAAGAAATCAGACATGCGTGAATCGTCGGCGGACAACCGTGAAGATTCCTCCAGTTCGTGTCGCTGCGCACGCGAATTGTTGCCGGGCAATGTGGGCTCGTCCTCGTCATCTGTGGTAGAGACCTCTTCGCCGAATATATCATGAGCAGCTACGCCCATATTGGGCGCCCGATGCGTATCGAAATTGCTAGTTTCATCGTCATCCGACTCCACGTTTATCTCACGCTGCGAGTTGCTCTCATTGAGGGTCTTATCGCTGGCATGCATGGTCTCGTCCTGCATATCCTCATCGGCCTCGTTGTACGGCTTGATGTCTGACTGATCCAGCTCATCGCTGGGCTTGTCCTCCTCATTGATGATCTCGTATTCGACGCGCACAGCCTCGTTGTCGATGCGCAGCAGATGCTTTACTTCCTTCTCGATCTCCGGCGTTTCCACGTTCTTCTTTTTCAACGTCTTGCGAAAGCGTCGTTTGCGTACGTTCTTGCAGGGCGGCGTTATGCCATGGGGCCACAAATACTTTTTGTCCACCTTGTTGGGATCCTTTTTCTTGTTCTTGTTGGGCGACTCTTTCTCCGTCTCATCCTCCGGCTCCTCCTTGCATATGAGCAACTGGCAAATGTCCGCGGATTTATAAAAGCTTTTATTGTCTATCGTCTTGTAGCTCTCCATAACTGTCGGCAGGTCGACAATTTTTGCGTAGAGCAATTGGTCATCGAGCCGCACCTCCCCATACCGCAAATCCTGATCTAATTGTATAGTTAATCGATCCTTGATGTTACCTGCCTGTATGGACTCGTGCACCACACTGGCCAGGTGCTAAAAAAGGAGGCAATTTGTCAAATGTGTCAAAAGTAAGCGAACGTTGCCCTACCTTGGGAAAACGCATTATGAACTGGTTCTCTAGCTCAACTCCATCATCCCTAGGCTTATGCTCAGCCTGTTTCTTCTTTTCAAACATTTTAACTAATAGATTTAACTTATATTTAATAAACAACAAACTAAGAAATTTCTGGCACAACTTTTACTACACTGTTGCATGTTCGATACCGCGAATATAATCAGCGTGCGGGTGGCAGTTATCGATAGTCGTAGAAGTGTTGAAAAGTTTCATTCTGTGTGTTTGATCTGGCAACCTTAATTAATAAAATAAAATGAAAAGCGCGCCTAAGCAAATCGAATAAGAATCTACATTGTGTTTTGGACATCTTCACACTTATGCTGTGTGTATAGTTAATAATAATAATGTACGCTTAATAAATCTGTGTCGTGGCTGCCGTATTGCGCCCACGCAGCGCGCAAAAATGGAACCCAAAGGCCGTCCAGCAAAAAACCAAGCGCAACTTGTTTTTTAACACACACACATGTATGTACATATGTATGTATGCATAGTTTATTTGTATGCATGTTTAATTATAATATTCTTAAACAAATAGCTACAAAAATATATAGTACAAACAGCTGACGTTAAAGTGACATTTTAAGCTGTTATATGTGACTGCTTATGTAAATAGATCAACGGTTGGCTTATCTTATCTTATTTAATCGCGCTCATCCGACTGCATCATTTCACACCCTTCGGATTGTAGACACCCAAAAAGGTGTTGCACTTGCGGCAGTAATGGTTGCCCGTGCGGCAGCTATTCATGCAATAGGGCACAAAGCAGGCACAGACACACCAGCTATGGAATGGGCAATTGGATTAGAGTTCGAACCGAGGTTCTAGAGGTTTCCCACTTACCCCACCAGGCAGATGAGCGCTGCGGCCATATGAGTACGTGCGTTGGCTGTGTGCGTCATGCGAGTGGTCTTCTGTACGCCACAGGCGGGACACAGCACGCGGCAGGGATTCGGGCCCAGATTTGTGGGACCTGCAACCAAGTTGTTGTTGTTTTTTTTTTTTTTAAAACATTTCTTGCAATCATAATTGCACGCAGCCGGACTCACCTGTCTGCACAAATGTGGGCTCCAGCTGTTGTGGCTGTGGTGGTTGTTGTTGTGGCTGCGGCTGCGCAATCACAATCGTCGCTGAAGCGGGAACGGTAGCGGGAGCAGGAGTGTGTGCTGCTATTGCCACATCATACGATGGCGGCGCCTCAATGGGCACGCCGAGCTGGGCAGCAGACAGTTCGTTTGTTGGCGTCGGCAGCGGAGCGCTTGGCGTGTTGAAATCCACTTGTGGATAGAGCATGGCACGCTTCTGTTCCATGGTGCGAAGTTCAGCTTTAACTTCAATATGAATCAGATACTACAGAGAGCGACAAATCACAGCCCAAAAGCTTTGTTTGCTTTGCTAATTGCCGTCTCAAACCTCGTCGTTGTTGCTCGCTCCGACTCTCTGTTCACGCTCTCGCCGTGGTCTTTTTCGTTTCACTTTCAACACGCGACTGAATTCAAGTTTAGCGCTAACCAAAATAGCTGCCAGAGATCTGCGGAGAGCGAGCTTGAAAGCTAAAACGAAAACAAAAACAGGTACGAACGAGATGTTCAAAGGTGCCCGACTGGCAGATACTGCTTACTTTCTAGTACAATCTTATTTGTTCGAGTTCGTTTCTCAGCCCCAAACTATGGCAAATGCATTCCTGAATAAGTTCGGTGTTTACCGTCCCGTACTTAAGATATTTGTTGTGCTTAAATATGTCGTAGAAATGTCAAGGCTAAAACTTTAAAAAGGTTTCGTTTTAAATTTGAGAGAAAATGGATTGGACATTTAATAAATTAAATGTATAATTCACAAAACAAGTTCGAAAACTGTTTACAAATCGATTTTTGTCAATTTATATATAGATATTCCATAAGGGCTTTCAACTATATTTTTCAGCACTTCAATATACCTTTTAAGCCAGTTTTTATGGTTATAGGGTACACAACAAAATCAAGTAAAAACTTTGGCAATCTTTTGCAACAATTGCACAACCGAAAAAAAAAACACGAAATTTAGATACTAATGTATTTGAACAATTTATCTAAGGTACACAAATGCCTGCTCTTTAAATACAGGTAGCTATATGCATATATGTATGTGTATCTCAGGTATAATTTTGTATTTTTAGCAAAAGCTGCTGCTGCTGCAGATAAACGTTCATTTTGGAGTTCCACATCCGTCTGTGCGGGGGAGGGGTGGGGGGATTGGGAGCGTCACTTGCGCAAATAGGTGCCCAGGTAGTGATCGCACATGCCGCAGTAGTGATTGGTGTTCATGCAGCTGGAAATGCAGTAGGGCAGGCACACGCAGCAGTAGAGTCTGGCGGAATGGAAAAGTGTCGCAACAGTCATACAACAACAACAACAACAACAACAACAACTAAGTACTATCTGTGGGCCATTGCGGCGATTACTCACTGCAGCAAGCACAGCACCAGCGCAATTAGGTGGGTGCGCGAGTTGGGCCTGTAGGAGACGCGGGTGCGCGTGTAATTGTGACAGAACGGGCACTGGACATCCTGTGGATCCGGGCCATATGGCGAGCTGGGCACCACGATCACCGTGTGCTGAGTGCTTGTCCCTGTTGTTGCCGGTACGGTTCCGGGTCCGGTTGTCTGGGCAGGCGTGGGCGTGGTCGTGGCCGTTGCCTGATCATAGCTGGGCGGCGCTGGTGGAGCCAACAGCTGCTCCTGCTCCGGCTGCTCGTGCACCTCCTTAGGCACCTCCAGCGGCTCTTTGGGATAGACACTTTCCATAATTGGAGTATGACCGACGTATGACAAATTCTCTGTCGGCGCTGTCAATGCTAGCCATGAAAAACAAAAAAAAAACAAGAACCTGCGACGCACCCAATCGGTTCTTATCAAATGTGGTAGGTTTCTGCTGTCTCTGCTTCTTGCGCCCAATTTGTCGAAAGCTTCACGCCGATTGTGCGCTTATTTGTTTACCTTATAGGTAAAATGAGTAGCTTTCCATCAGAGTATGTGTGCGTGCGTGTCGCTTAACACCTAAAAAAAAAAATGTTCGTGTGCATGTGTGGAGAAATTGTTTACGTTTATTGTTGTTTAGCATAAAGCTATTAATCGCTGCTATAGACGCCCACAAATTTGTTGCAATTGCCGCAGAAATGATTCGCATTCATGCAGCTGGTAGCGCAGTAGGGCAAACAGGCAAAGCACCAGAGACTGCACGAGCAAGAAAAACAAGCACATACCGATAAGATAAGAGGGAGAGGAAGAGTGAGAGCTATTGATAACAGAGTCTGCGTTATCTTACCCCACGATGCAAAGCAGGGCGGCCATGCAATGGGTGCGCACACTGGGCGAATACTCGACGCGCGTCAGCTTCTGCACATGACAATGCGGACAGCTAATGTAGCACGGATCCGGCCCCACAGCGGGCGACGGCTGTTCTGCAATTATTCCAAACAATCAAACAATTCATCAAATGAGCAACATTCTGTACTTACGCTGTATGATGACCACCTGAGCAGGTGTTGGCACGTGAAAGTGTGTTGCCTGCTCGTAACTGGGCGGCTGTGGCTGCGCCTGCGCATACTGATAGCTCATGTTCGGTTTTTATCCGCGCACAGGTCTGTTGTTAACCAGCTTCGATTTCGTACTCTTCGTTGTTTTCTGCCTGTGTCTGGCAACAATGTTGCCAGCGCGCATGTTGCAGCAACATGCCGTTAAAAAGCTTTCGAAACTTTCAGCAACAGTTGCCAACTCATTTATTTATTGCCAGCTAAACGCTTTGGTTCGTTTCGTAGGCGATTTATCAGCGACTTATTTTAAAATGTATACTAGCGACGCTTTTATTTGCATGCAACCGGAAATGCGCAACCATATCGCCACATTTCCCTAAACACGAACTCCAGAGATTGTGTAATGCTTGGAAATAATCATCAGGCTTTCCATGATCTTGTGCCTTTAAAATTTGATATATGGAATATATATAACAAGATTATAAACTGAGGTTTACTGAATCATGAACAAATTTCTTGAAATTGCATTTTTTTCCTTAAACTTTTTTTTATGTGGTTTCTTTCAATGCTTTATTATACTTGATAAAAGTGTATTTCTGTACGCTTTGCTAGATGAATCGCAGGCATATTATAAACAAAAATAATAGTATTTAAATCTACGTGAAACAAATTTTGGTTAAAAATAAATTATCGATCTCGATGAGGAAGGTTAAAACTTATTTTCTTGATAAAAAAAAAACCGTCGTGCTTTGCTCTGCAAACTTATATGCATATAGTATATGTATATCTGTGTATACAGATGTATATATATGTATATTGTGAGCTTGTGATGAAATCGAAGCCTAGAAGACGGTCTCAATTCTGATAGGAGCCGATGTAGGCGCCACAACGACCGCATTTGTGCACGGCTGTTTGGCAGGACTCTGCACAGTAGGGTATACAGCAGCAGCAGACGCAACTGGAGTAGATAAGGAAATATCCTTAAAGAAAGGCCAAACAAATTTAAATAACATTTGCTTACCCCAGCAAACACAGGAGCAGCGCAACCAAATGCGTCTTGGAGTTGGGCTCGAATGTGACCGCGGTTAGCTGACGACTGTGGCACGTGGGGCAGGTGGCCATGCAGGGTCCGCTGCCTAGGACGTTCGGCACCGTAGCTACAAACAAAAAATATGTCAAATATTTGGCTTCTCTTGGGATGATCGCGGCAAACTACTTACTACTCGACGCAATTGGCGCTGTCGTCATGAAATGTGTTTCTGGACTTGGCCTTAGAATTGGATTGCCAAATTCGCTATAGCTAGGAGGAGGCACGGGATAGGCATGCTTCGATTCCATTTTCGTTGGCTTCTCTGAAGGTCTGAAGTGCTCGCAGCTTGACGCGGAACTGAAACTTCTTGTCGAGTGAAACCGCAAAAGAAACCCACTCAAGAAATGGGTGCAACTGAAGAGCTAACGAGCTGCGGAGAGCCATTGATAAGGCTTTGAAATAAAAGTAAATATGAGAGCAAAAGATGTGTCGTCATAAAAGAAGTACCCGCAGGTGACAAGTCATACAGTTTCAAAAACAAAGGCCTATTGATTTATCAACAAAGGAAACATTGTTCAATGTGAAATGAATAATATGCTTATTAATATGAACTCTGCCTCTTAGCGAATAGAATGATTATAATAATGACCCCAGAGAGTTGGCCATTAGTGGAGGCGATTTGAATAGAATGTCCCTTTCAATAGCTAATGTCTGCTTATCAATCATTCAGTTTAGCTAAGAATATAAGCTAATAAGCCTCTCTCACAAAGATTCGAACTGGAGCTCACAAAAATTCATATATAGAGCAGACTTGGCCATGAATTCGAGCCCTCATCCCCGAGCCCCACTTCGACAACAGAGCTAGCGAGACTGGCTTTAAGATTTCTCACATTTAATTTAGATATATTCCGAGTTCTGGATTTCTTTATTCAAAATATGAGCATACATCAGTTGAGCTTAGCGTTCGTAGGTGCCAAGAAAGGTGTTGCAAGAGGAGCAATAGTGATCCACGTTGCGGGCACAGTCCGTGCAATACAAGCAGGCGGCGCAGGGCCACAAACTGAAGGAGGGCAGAAATTTGAGTACGATCTTCAAGTAAAGTTGATCAGAGTCTGCGGCTTTTCACTTACAGTGTCAGGCACATGATTAGGGCTAAAATGTGTGTTCTTGTCGTGGCATGGCCCTCCGTGCGCGACATCATCTCCAGATGACAGTTCGGACAGACCACTCTGGAGGACTCGGGACCAACGTTTGTGGACATTTTGTTTTTGCCTCTAGTATTTGTTTGATGTTGAGCTCCGCTGCGGCTGCTGCTTGTTGCGATACTGTGACTCTTCAATAACTTACGGACTTTATTTATTATTTATTTGTAAAAAGCAGAAAACTTACCCGCATTAAATGCGTGCACAATAAACTAACTCGATAAGTGTGTTTGAAATTCTCTTTTCAACTCACAAAAGCTTTCGAAGTAGTTGCTCTTACGGAAAAGTTCCACAGATTGATTGAGCTTAGGTCTAAAACTGGGATATATAGCAGATGGTACATACGGATAGAATATGTTGAATAGAATCAAAACTAATAATATACATTTGTGTATAAGCTTTTTCATTTAATTAAGTGAATATATAATGTGTGTGCATCATATACAAAATTGAGTTTGTTATTTAATTTTAAATTAATTCAATATTTTATTTCAATTTGATTGATGATTAATACCGAAAATCGTGTGGAATATCTTGAAGACATTACAAATTCCGTAATGTTAAGTATTTAGAGATTTCGTTTGTATTTAAAGCCAGCCCGAACTGCTTCAGTTCTGATAGGTGCCCACAAAGGCGCCACAGCTGGAGCAGGTGTGCACGGCGCTCTGGCAAGAGTCCACACAGTACGGCACACAGCAGCAACAGATGCCGCTGCAAGTCAACAGATTATCGATGGTAAACAGATGGTTCCCGAACGCGATCAGTACTCACCCCACCAGGCAAATGAGCAGCGCCAAGAGATGGGTCTTGGTGCTGGGCTCGTGCTTAACCGTGGTCAGCAGACGCGCCTGACACGAGGGGCAGGTGGCCACAGTTGGCATTCGGCCCAAATGATTTTGTGCCACACCTGCGTAAATTATTAATTGTGTCTTTTGTTTACTTAACAATTGTTCGGCCACTTTTTTTGGCTTCCACTAACCCTGCATGTAAACCTGCGGCTGTTGCACGTTAATTACGGACGCAGGCATTGCCGATGGCGGCAACTCCGTCGGAATCATCGACGGGCCGCCCAGGTCACCATATTGCGGCGGCGCGTCCGGCGCTTGCGGATAGAGATGCGATTTGTTGTCCATTGCTCAGCTTTGGTCTTCCGAGCGAGGTCTGCTCCGTTTGCGGCTCGCTACGAAACTGAGAAGCGTGAAATTCCGCTGCTTTCCCGATGCCTGTCAGTCAATAGCAAAATAACACAAGGGTATACAAGCGTGTGTGTGTGTGTGTGTGTGTGTGTGTGTGTGTGTGTGTGTGTGGGTGTGTAATTTGTATGTGTGCGCGTGTGAGTTAGATAACAAATTTGTCCAGTCAACTTCCAGCGCAAGAATCCACAACGTCAGCCATCTAATGACGCAGTGTTCAGTCAAAGATTTATTTATTATCTTTAAACAGTAAAGTCTCAACTATAGCATTGGTTATATAAGAAGTATAAACTCAACTTGAGCTGTAGGACATGCATATGGGGTATATAAGCCAAAGCTTGTCAAATCCATCATAATAGTAATTGCTATTTTAATCGAATGCATATCAAATAAGCATTAAGTAAGCAGTTGCAGCTAGTTCCCTTTGGCATAAAAACTATTAGACAAACTTGGCACTTGCCTCGGACAATAATTGATATTTACATATATAATATATATAATTAAGTTTTACACGTTAGGTTACTATAAAAAAATATATTTCAATTTATTATTTTCACTTAACGGCTACTTTTGTTGAGTACATTCAGATTTGCTTCCCGAATATGAACTGATTTATCTAACTGTTGCGGTCGCTTAGCAAACTTCGCTTTGAGAGAGTTTGAGTCAAAATTGAGTGAAGTTTGAGCTGCGTCAGCAATTATGCGTGGGATAGTACTCTGATGGGAACATTGACAGTGGCGTGATATTTAGGGTGAATTGTTTATGTCTACCAAAGGGGGACAGTTTGATCTTGACCAATGTCGATGTTATCACCAGGCTCTTTGTTTACAATATTAGAAATGTTTATAATTGTGCTTATGCTTATGTGCTAAGTTATGTTAAAGGGTGGGTGCGACTATGGATATGTCACTCCCCCAACCATTAGAAAAGTGCCTGTCCTCAGGTGTTTAAGTTTGGATATAGTGTAACATTTTCTTCTTTTAGAATTGGTATATCTCCTATTATTGTAGGTGTTTCTTCTACTTTGGGTTTTTTATATTTTATAATTAATTTCTTAGGTATGCTTTTGAACTTATATGTCAAATACAGTGTTAAACTTATTAATATGATTACAAATATGGTTATTGTAATTATCTGGAATACATTGTTAAATTTTGTATGTGCATTTATAATTTGTTTCGTTTGTACAAACGAAAGTGGTTCTAATTTTATAACATCATTGCTTACGTAAATGCTTTGAGTATAATCTAACATATTGTTTGAAATTGAAATTTCATTAATTTGCAATGAACAATTAAAGATTTTTATTATATTGTTTCCTTCTATTGTTATTTCGTTATTTATACAATTATGGTTTAATATAGTTTTTGGTAAATTCCAAGTTAAAATTATATTTGGTTCTATGTAGTTGATTTGAAAATTTTGCAAAATTTTAGTATAACTACATTCTGATGTTATTTGGTTTAAAATTCCTGTTAAACATTCATTATTAATTAATTTTTTTGTTTCTCTGCTATAAACTTTTTTATCTTGGGTAAAATATTTTTCATGAGCTATTTCTGTCAAAATATTATTATTTTCATCCGGGTATGGAATTATTTCGAATACCGGGCTTTTTATTATTTCTCGAGGAATATGGGATATTATAAGTATTTCGTTTGTATCTGATTTAAACCAAGTGGAAGTTTTTGTATTCAACAATTTCTCAGAATTAACATGCAACAAATAGTCATGTTTTAGTAATTTTGGGTTAAAAATTCCTAATCTTGTGAGCTGCATTCCCATCTCAATGTCTTCTATATATTCTGTAAAGTGTTGTAAGTTAAATATAAGGATATCTAATTTCTTTCCTTTTTGTTTCTCTTGATCTAGTTCGTTCATGATTTCTATTCCTTTGTTTATAGCTTCTATTATGTAATTTAATTCGTTAACCTGAACGCTGTTTTCTGCTAAGTTGCTTATTTTTTGTTCAATTTCTGCTTTGTCTTCTTGATCTAATGTTCCAAATAAGTATTTATATGCTGTTCCTACTATGTTAACTAAACCTCTTTTGCTGCGTTTGGCTATTTTTAAGCCGTTTATTTCTCTGTTTAATTTTTCTACTAGGTATTCGATTTGTATAAGGTTATTGAATTCTTTACTTTGTTCAATTAAATTGTTAAAAGTTTCTTCGGTTTTTGTTATATTAACCGTTAAACAGTGGAATTCGTAATCTGTCGGAATGTCTATGGTTCCTGTTTTAAATATGAGATATCCGTTATGGGCTTTGATAGGATTAATTTCAATACTCTGTGCATTTATATGGTTTACAGTTATTGATAGTAATATTATAATAATTAATTTAAGCTGGTGCTTGTATGTTTTGATCGCTGTCTGTTGTTGACCTGTAATTGTTATATTTGCTTTGATTAGTCTTCTTTTTCTTTTTGAATTTGGTTTTGTAATGTGTTATTTTCCTGCCTCTGTTAGTTTCCTCAAAATGTTTGTCGTCGATTTGTCTTAGTTCTCCTGTTTTCTTGAACGGGGTTGTCGTCTTTGATTTAACTAACGGTGAGTGTTTGTATCTAGTGTCAATTTCATAATTTGTTCGTTTTTTGTTGAGGTTATTTATTAGTTTTTCTTTATTAGCTTGAGTGTCATACTCTGGTGTACCTGCATATATGAATATGTCCGCTGGTGTTCTGTTAGTCGTTTTGTGCTTTGTTTTATGATTGTACGTGTAGAGTATAGTTTCAAATTTTGTAAGTTTATTTTCGACGTCTGAGTCGCTGTTAATGATTCTTAGTTTTTCGTTAACTGTCTTATGAAATCGTTCTACGTCGGATATACCATTTTTACTAGTGGTTATATTAATATTTACTGCTTCTGATTTTAGCCATAATTGTAAAGCTGTACACATAAAAGCTGAGTCTTTGTCTGCCTTTATTTCGATGGGTTTACCCATTTGGTTGAACACTTGTAATATAGCTCGTTTGGTTTCTAGCCAGTCTCTACTTTTTATTTCTATTAATGATGCAAATTTTGAATAGATATCAATGCAAGATAAAAATTGTTTATCTCCTACTATGTAAAAATCCATTACATATTTTTCTCGGATATTAGCGATTTCCGGAGTTATTTCGAAAGTTAATTTTGTATCTCTGTGTTCTGTTTTTGCGATGTTGCAAATCTCACATTCATTTATTAGATTTTGAATTAAATTTTGATAATCTGGGAAATAGTGGGTTTCTTTGAACCAATTGATAGTTTTTTCAATTCCTGGATGTAATAATTCTTTGTGCTTTTTTAATATTAATTCTTTGAATTCTGCATATGTTTGAAGGTCTATTAATTTTGTACTAGTTTTCATTGCCTTTGTTGAATTATTCGGACTTATTATTTCTAAGTAGGCTTCTTGAAAAATTGGAAAATCTGCTTCGTTGTGGAAGTATAGCACACTTTTCTTTGTGCATAAGTATTCTTTTATTAATTCTTTGGCATGCGTATTAGTCATGTCTTTGTACGTAATTTTTATGTTGGTTTTGTGAAAGTAATTCGTAACTTTTGTTTCGTTCTCGGTTCCTTTTTCAAATTCTATTTGTCGATTATAATAATTAAGTGGTCTTTCTGTGATTTGTAAATGGTTACTGTTGTCTTCTTGAGCACTATGTATTGTTGCTCTTGTGCTAATTGTATCTTCGCCTAAGAAGTTTTCGTTTAATTGAATTCTGGACAGAGCATCTGCCACATAATTTTCTTTTCCTGGGACGTATTTAATTTGGAAATCAAACTCATTTAGCTTGATCTTCCACCTTTGTAATTTCATGTTAGGTTCTTTCATATTATTTAACCAGACGAGTGGTCTGTGATCACTAAGGATTTGAAATTGTCGACCAAAGAGATAGGACCTAAAGTATTTAGTGGCCCAAACGATTGCTAATAATTCTTTTTCAATCGTTGAATAATTTAACTCATGCTCGTTGAGAGTTCTACTTGCATAGCATATAGGCTTATGCTCTTGCGAAAGGACGGCCCCTATTGCCATATTACTCGCGTCTGTAGTTAATGAAAATGGTTTTTCGAAGTTAGGGTATATTAAAATTGGGTCGGATGTTATGAGTACTTTTAGCTTTTCAAACGCTAGCTCGTAGTCTCTGTCTTTTATATTGATTTTTGCTCCCTTTTTTAATTTAAGTGTTAATGGTTTTACTATATTAGCGAAATTTGGTATAAATTTCCTATAGAAACCACATAATCCTAGAAATGATTTAATTTCTTTTGGGGTTTTTGGAATTGGGAATTTGACAATTGCTTGTATCTTGTTGGGATTTGGTTTTATACCCTCAGTTGTGATGATGTGACCGAGAAATTCAGTTTCTTTTCTCATAAACTCGCATTTATCCAACTGTAGTTTTAAGTTAGCTTCTCTAAGCTTCTTAAATACCTTTTGTAGCGACAAAATGTGTTCCTCCAATGAAGTGGAAAAAATAATAATGTCGTCTAAGTAGACCAGACAATCTTTAAAAATTAAATCTTCTAAGAGATTGTTCATACAACGTTGGAACGTTGCAGGTGCATTCTTAAGACCAAATGGCATGCGAGTGTACTCGTAATGGCCATGTTTAGTCGAAAATGCGGTCTTGGGTATTGAACCAGGATCCATTTGGATTTGGTGGAAGCCTTTGGCTAGATCAATGGTTGTGAAATATTGACATTTTCCAAGTTTGTCTAATATTTCATCCATGATCGGGATAGGGTATTTATCATTAATAGTTAGTTCATTGAGATTGCGGTAATCTATGACTAACCGGAATTTTTGCTTTCCAGATGCATCGTTTTTCTTTGGAACGATTATTACTGGTGAGCAGTAAGGGGATTTGGATTTACGTATGATATTTTGTTTTATCATATCGCTTATTTGTTTATTTACTTCCTCATCGTATATTTGAGGATATTTGTATGGACGCTTGTAAATTGGGTCCTCATGTTTCGTTAGAATTTTGTGTTTAATTGTACTAGTGAAAGTCAAATTGTCACCTTCATGGTACTGGATATCACGAAATTCATGTAAAACTTTTTTTATTTTTTCTTTTTCTTCTGAGTTTAGGTGCTCTAGCCTAAACTCATTGTTTTCTATTAATTCATTATTAATAGCGAAGTTAAATGGTCTGTCCTCTGTTGAGGGTGGATCAAGGCACTCTTGTGCGGTCATGTCCTCTTCGACCTCTTCGTCGTTATATCTAAAACAAAAGTTAAATTCTCCTAAGGTTACGGATCCTTGTGCATAGTCTATTTTTGCTTGACATGCCTCAAGGTATTCTCTCCCAATCAGAACATCATAATGCTCTGAGAAGTCGTGAATATAGAATTTTTGTTTGCTCGGACAAATTTTGCTTGCTCCTAATCGTATACTTTGTTTTAATTCAATAACACCATTTATGGTGTGAACCTTTAATGTTTCGTTGTAAACTGGAAAATTTAAGCGGTTAGTTTTCATTAGATTAATGGTTGAACCTGTGTCGATGACACATTTTAGAACTTCGTCATTCATAATCAATTTTATGAATGGATTTCTTCTGTTTGTTCCGAGGCTTGCTGATGAAAATTTTCGGATGTATCCATTTTCATCTGCCCACTGTTACTATCTCTTTGACGTTTAGTCGGAGGGTTTGGTGCATTCAAGCGTGAATGGGACTGATTTTGGTAGTTTAAGGGATTTTGGTATCTACCTTGACTTAATTTCTGTTGGAACTCGTGGTGAGCTTTCTGATTGTCTTCGGACTTATTATGCTGTTTATTTTGTGCGTGATAACTCTGATTCGTGTTGGAATAGCCACTTGAAATGGTGGTTGGGTTAGCATTTTGCTGATAATTTCCCATGTTCCTACGATTGTTATTTGGATTTCCCTGAACATTATTATTTTTAGGTTTTTCAGTAACGCTATTTTCATATAATCCCTCTCTTTGAGCTACTTGCTTTAGTTTTTGTGTCGACGTAATGTCGTGTCTGGCTAACATCATGAAAAGCCTATCTGGTAATTTTTTTGTAATAACATCTTTGATTGTGTTATTCATAGCATTTGTATAAAGGGTTGTATTGCTAGGTATATTTTCTAGTGCTAACTTATTTAATATAACAAAAGATTTATTCTCGAGCTCCTCGATGAACTTACGGACGTTTCCTTGGTAATTCGTGTTGTATAAGCGTCGAAGGAGTTCTTCAAATGGTGTCTGCACTTTGTATTCTTCAATCAATGCGTTTCTCAGCTCCTGCCAAGTGTTGGCTGCTGTCCTTTGTGATATTCTCTGAGCATCTCCTGTGACTTGCAATTCGATGGCTCCGTATAAGATGCTATGTTGTCTAACATCTCGGGTTGGATACAGGTGTAGGATGTAATCTATCCTTTTAATGAAGGCGTTTAGTTGATCCGTTGATCCGTCAAAGCTTGGCACCTGTCTAAGTTGTGAAAGGGCCTGGTTGAGGTGTTGTTCTGATAATTCCATTGTCATCTTGGTGTAATACACTTTTTTTTGAATAGTTTTGAGTTTGTAGGTTTGAACTTTATTGTTCTTTGATTTTGCACTTTTATTTTAGGTTAAAGTTTGTGATGGATTATTGGTTAAATGTTTTTTTTTTTGTGTGTGTGTCTTAAAAAGACTCAGTAATAACGTATTGCAGGGATCAAACGATATGCAAATCCAGTCGTTATTAACTGTAGTAGCTTTATTGCCCAAAGGGTCAATATTATTAAGCTACTAATGACCCGAAGGTTCTTGTGCGGATACGTATTCGAGAAAATTTTTATTACACTCCGACAACACTTTCGGTCGCGATTGTGCGTTAGATCTGGGAATTAATTATCCTTTAGCGATCTTTAATTTTTCCCGACGTATCCTACCGGCTGCGCCAATTAAGTTTTACACGTTAGGTTACTATAAAAAAATATATTTCAATTTATTATTTTCACTTAACGGCTACTTTTGTTGAGTACATTCAGATTTGCTTCCCGAATATGAACTGATTTATCTAACTGTTGCGGTCGCTTAGCAAACTTCGCTTTGAGAGAGTTTGAGTCAAAATTGAGTGAAGTTTGAGCTGCGTCAGCAATTATGCGTGGGATAGTACTCTGATGGGAACATTGACAGTGGCGTGATATTTAGGGTGAATTGTTTATGTCTACCAAAGGGGGACAGTTTGATCTTGACCAATGTCGATGTTATCACCAGGCTCTTTGTTTACAATATTAGAAATGTTTATAATTGTGCTTATGCTTATGTGCTAAGTTATGTTAAAGGGTGGGTGCGACTATGGATATGTCACTATATATATATACAATACATTATACGTACATTATGAAATATTAAATGCTAACAGCACACAATTTACTAATAACATCACCGAGCGTTGAAGGTGTTTTATTTGCCAGTCCCGCCAGCTATGCCCCATTTCATATATATACCAAGAAGTTTCCCGATTAGGGGACTCCCGGCATTCTCTTCTAGCACCAAATGCTGATCGCGCTACGAGCATGTTTATTTTACCAGCAATAACAAAAGAATGTATGTATGTGTGCAGATTTTCTCTAGTTCTGCGGGGCTATCCGAATTTCATCATATCTCATATTAAATAAACCCATTGAAAATGTGTAAAAATGGAAAAAACGTTTTGCGCACATGAATGAAATGGGCAGAAAAAATATACATATATATTCTTGATCAGCATAAAAAGCCAAGTCAAGTTTGTTTCTTCAATTGATAAGACTCACAGCTCAAATTGAATATGTAGCTTTGAGAATTACATTTATAGCATAGAAAGATCGAGAGTTTTTGATAGATATTCTTGGCTACATTTGTCGTTAATAGCAGACGGCAGAGGGTATCCCCTAGTCGGACACTCCCGACTAGAGCACTTTTACTTTGTTTATGCTGTTTTTTTTTTTTTTGTCTAAATGTTTTGCAATTTAATTTTAATTTCTGCCGATTGAAAACCTAATGGTAATGGGTGCAATTAGTTGACGGCTTTGCCCAGGTACTGGTTACAGCAGCTGCAATAATGATCCAAGCTGCGGCAGCTCTTGAGGCAATACGGGAGCGGCACCAGGCAGACCAGCCTGGAAAACAGAACAGAAGGGCGTCACCAGGGCAATTTAGTTCCATGCCAGCAGCTGCTGACGTTAGCTGACTCACCCGGTTAGGCAGAGTATAAGGGCCAACAGGTGCGTGTTCTTATTCGCACGCGGTGCCAGGCGCGTTTGCATCACATTTTGGCAACTGGGGCAAGTCATGCGCTGCGGCTCATGCCCCAATGGCGGTGCGGCTGCAACAGGAGTTGGTTATCCGCAGGTTGGGTGCTGCCAGGTGATGCAATCACTTACCATTTGCATTGAGCACCATCACTGCAGCCGGCGCCGGCGCCGGCGTTGGCTGAGCTGTCATCTCAGCCCGGGCAGGAGCCGTTGACATGTAGGCGTAGTTAATCTGCTTGAGATCCGCCTCCATGTTATGTTATGTGATAAGCGCCTGAAACTCGGCGGGTTTTTATAGTTAGCTTGCGCATTTACCGTTTTCCATTTGGCATTACGCGGCGTATACGCAATAATCGACCCATTAAGGACTATTCGGCACTTGACTTGAATATTTATTTAATGTCTGACATTTCGAAAAACAATTGACATAAACATTACAATTTTGTTGTCTAACATCAAAATAATTGCATACAAGTTAATGTTAAATGCACTAAGTTACAGTCGGACTTCGCTATAATGAAAGTCCTTATAGGCATTAATATTCTGATTGTTTCTTGCATTTTATGTGAATCATCTTAAAATTTGTTCGCTTTATTTAAGATTTGTTGCTTTAATTCCTAAAACCTATCTAAAAAGTTCTAATCTTTCAGGTTTTACTGTATGCCTTTTCCTTTCACAATATCTTTTCTTCGCTTTTCTGTAAACTTTTTTGCTGACCCAAAATAAGCTCAAAGCGTTTTTTTTATACCCTGAACCCATTAAAAAAAATCCAAATGTATGTAACAGACAGAAGGAAGCATCTCCGACCCCATAAATTATATATATTAAACAAGTTAATAACACAACTTTTATTGCCAACCAATTTAAGCCAAAATTTAAATGCAATTCACTTTTTCAGTATACACAAATATTCTATGATAAAATAAGATATACTGTAGAAAATTTCATCAAAATCGGTTAAAAAAAACCAAAGCTATATGCAACTGCGCAATTGTTAATGTCTCGGGTAATAGCTCCGCGCGGAGATATGACGTTCCAAAACGACATAACTCCGCGCGGAGATATGACGTTTTAAAACGTCATATCTCCGCGCGGAATGTGACGTTCCAAAACGACATAACTCTGCGCGGAGATATGACGTTCCGAAACGACATAACTCCGCGGGGAGATATGACGTTCCGAAACGACATAACTCCCGGGAGATATGACGTTTCGAAACGACATAATTCCGCGGGGAGATATGACGTTCCAAAACGACATAACTCCATTTTGGACTCCGCGCGGAGATATGACGTTTTAAAACGTCATAACTCCGCGCGGAAATGTGACGTTCCAAAACGACATAACTCCGCGCGGAGATATGACGTTCCGAAACGACATAACTCCGCGGGGAGATATGACGTTCCGAAACGACATAACTCCGCGCGGAAATGTGACGTTCCAAAACGACATAACTCCGCGCGGAGATATGACGTTCCGAAACGACATAACTCCGCGGGGAGATATGACGTTCCGAAACGACATAACTCCCGGGGAGATATGACGTTCCGAAACGACATAACTCCCGGGGAGATATGACGTTCCGAAACGACATAACTCCATTTTGGACTCCGCGCGGAGATATGACGTTTTAAAACGTCATAACTCCGCGCGGAATGTGACGTTCCAAAACGACATAACTCCGCGCGGAGATATGACGTTCCGAAACGACAGAACTCCGCGCGGAGATATGACGTTTCAAAACGACATAACTCCGCGCGGAGATATGACCCTCCAAATCATCACGTTTTTTTTTTCAAAATCGAGGTCGGTGCGAAAATCGAAATTTTTTCAATGATTTTTTTTTTAATATCCTGGGTAACAGCTCCGCGGGAGATATGACGTTCCAAAACGACATAACTCCCCGTGGAGATATAACGTTCCAAAACGACATAACTCCGCGGGAGATATGTCGTTCCAAAACGACATAACTCCCCGCGGAGATATGACGTTCCAAAACGACATAACTCCGCGCGGAGGAGGTTACATCACGCTTATTTTCAAAATAGAGGTCGGTGCGAAAATCGAATCTTTTTCGATGATTTTTTTTAATATCTCGGGTAAATAATGTCTGATTTTAAAATGTTATACCTTTTTGAATGCGTACGGATCCCTACCATCAATTGGCATTCAAGCAAATTAATCATCGATGGGTTGAAAAATTTCGTTGACAAAAAACCGATTCGTTCGTAAATTCAACCTTTTTGATGATTTTTTGGAACCTCTTACGTGTTTTAATATACATTAAATATTAAAAATGTTTATTAAAAACTGTGCTCAATAACAACATTCGTTAAAGCGTAGCTCGACTGTATGTGAATAGAGGAAATGCAATAAGGCTGTGCTTTGTTTTGAAGTTAACTAGCTGTGCATCTAGCTGTAAATGTCAGGTGTACTTTAAGGAGTCAAAAGGCTGTCAGGACTCTTCAGCGCTCATAGGTGCCGACATAGGCGCTGCACGAGGGGCAGAAGTGATCCATGTTGCGCGCACAATCCGTGCAGTACAAGCAGCAGGCGCAGGGCCAGCAGCTGGGTGGAAATAAATAATTAAATAGCCATTAGTCGGATTAACTAAATATGTATATAGTTTGGCAGAGCAGTTGCTTACCAGGTGAGGCACATGATTAGCGCTATCAAGTGCGTCTTTGTGCTGGCCTTTGGCTCGGTGCGCGTGGTCACCTGTTGATGGCAGTTGGGGCAGACCACATTGCTGGGCTCCGGGCCGACAGGTGTTGACATTTTGCTGTCGCAAGAAATATAAAGGGCTTGGTTAGTTATCGATTTGAAGTTGATGTTGACCTTCGCGTTCGGCTCGTTGCATGCCAACTGGCGTGTGTGTGGCAATCAGTGCAATGTCATCTGGAAAGCCCATTTAAAATATGGCTTTAAACATGATAATAACAAACTGTACGTGATTCTTTGTTGTTTCAACGTACTTTCACATGACTCTATTGCTAATTGCGCCGATACTGGATAATTGCTTGGCATGCGGCAGGCAAATTAATTTCAATAACCCCACCGCACTATTATATTAAGCGACTCCTCTGATATCATAATACGCCTGCCTTTTCATATTTTCTGTCCATGATGTCAGTTTGTGGCGCCAGCGAAAGTGTCTGCCACATGCCACACAACGATGTCGTCATGCAAAAGATGTTCCAGCAACCCCAACTTGAGCAGAGAGACAACAAAAGGTTGTACAAATAAAAACAACCAGCTACAACGACGAATATTCTCTCGAACTCCCCCTAACTTCCAGCACCACCCACCCCTCTACATTGCTCCACTCCTTGGGCTATGTAGGGCGTATCCACCATTATTTTTGGGTGTGTATCGTTATCTCCATCAATCCCCTGGACAATGCTAATGTGTTAAGCCTTGACTGTCCATTTTATTGCCTACTTTTAGGGATTTCACGTAGAGTACACACAATTAATAAACATTAAATAGTACTTTGCCACACTCGCGCCGCATAAACAAATTTCAAATTCGAACATAAACACTTTCTGTACAGATTCATCAATAGCCTCGTCATCAAACTGATCGCAGCCAGCTGCCAATTTGTATACTCACATCGATATGTGTATAATATGTAAATTTATTGATGTTTATATGGCACTTCTGTAGATGGTTGCTCTTAAGAGAAGCGCGTTGCCGTCGCGTACTTGTTGCGCGTTGCGGGAACGAAAGCGTTTTGAAGTTCGCAACGCAGATGAGCCGCAGCCCAACCGATTGTTGGCATGTTAACCCCCAAATGCTGCACAGTGGAGCAGTTCCCGTTTTCATGGGCTCAAAAACTGTTACTGCATAAGCATAACTTTATCGAGGTGTTGCCACCTGACGACAAATTGGCAACGCTGCCTAAATATTTTGTGACAGTTAAATTCGAGTCCGAACGTTCAGCTAGCTTTCTCTCTCTACTCATCGAGCTAAACTGACTTGAAGTGACGTTAATATTTAAAATAATATCTATTACAGTTAGTTTAAGCCAATAAACTGTTCATTAGCCACAGTGCTTGGCAACAATGTTGCGAACATGTTGCTGAAACATGAGCTAGCAACCTCTTAATTTCGTTAACAAATATATTTGCCATAATTTAAAGTATATGTGAAATAAAAAACAATGTTGTGGTGTCGTTAAATATATGTTGTATTTTTTCAGAAAAATAATAAATGCATAGTTATGTTTATACACGAGTCCGTATATTGACAGGGTAAATTTGTGTTTACTTTAAAAAACTTATGTTTATCTATTTTATTTAACTATTGAAACGAATTGTTTATAAAAGCTTGCTTCTGTTGGTTGCTTTAAGCAAGGGTTTCATTTCAAGAGCCGCGACCTTATCTCCCCTTTTTATAAATCAAATGTACGTCACGTATTACATGTTCTCTGTTAGAGTGCGCATATATGGAATATATCTGAATGTATATAATATATATATATGTGCTTTTGTGGTTAGAGTTGTATATCTGCTTATTGGCTCCGCAGTTTCCTGTCGTTTTAGAATCTGCCCAGGCAGGCCTTACAGTTCGGGCAGTATTGGCTGGTTTTATAGCCGCAATCGCAGCAGCAGGGCAAGCAGACGCAGGGCCAGCAGCTGTGGGGGAGTGAAGACGAATTGCAATTAGATACGCTGCGAGTTGTCGCCGAAATCGGAAACTGAAACGTCACGACGTTCGTGTACACTTACAAAAAGAGACAGAGTATAGCGGAACACATATATGTGGTGCATGTTGCATGGTGCTCAACACGCATGCGAATGCGATCATGGCAATGTGGACATATCATGCCATTGCCCGAGTAGTTATCGATAAGAACCGTGCTAGTTTGGTTCAATACGGTGATCGGTGGGGCATGGTTTACCACGGTGACCGGCGGGTTATACATCGGTGCTGTATGAATCATTTCGCTTGGTGGTGCACTGGGAGCTGCCCTCATGCCCGGCTGCTCAGGTGAGTACGGCGGCGGCTGTGGGGACACCTTGCTATATTCCATGGCTAGTTTAGTTACACGTGCCTGGAAATCAAAGTGTTATCAATATCTGACACTATTCGACTGCTGCGACGTTATTGCGGGGAAAGAACCGTAATATAAATGCATACTTATTTATTTATGCCTAATACAATTTTATGAATATGTACGTTTCTACATGAATACAAGCAATACTTACTTAATATTTATGAACTTTAGTTATTTATCTTTCGAAATACTGAGCAAAGCGAGCGAAGCGACCGGCGACTTCTTCCAAAAACACAAACGAAATGAACAAAGCGCAAAAAACGAACAGCGGCAAGAAGAAGCAAAAGTGTTGAGCATTCTTTATATTTGTGCGAGCGAGATGGCAACACACGCCAAATTTTCAGTGCACAAAACGGAAAAAAAAGTGCCCAGAAAAGCCTTGCAAAACATAATTGTTAGCCCAGTAAACATATTTTTGGTAGGAAAGAAAGTGAAGCATAAATATGTATTTCTAATCGAGGGGCTAGAAAATAAAATATTATTTAACAAATAGCATAGATAAAACTAAGTATATACGGCTTTAAGACACAGCTGAAAGAAATGCATAAGCTGCAAATATTTCTATATTAAAAGCGTAGCATACTTTTGTACGCACCACAAAAATGCAACCATTGATTTGGGCTGCATACTTTTCGGCATGCGAACTAAGAAGCTTAGCTTTAGTTTCAACTAGAAAATCAAAATACTGAATGTGTCAGATATTCCACATCAACACCATCAAGGTTGACTTTACAATCAATCGATTTTTAATTTGTTTAAGCGTTAATTGAAAGTAGGGATCCGTGCGAATCAAAAAAGGTATAACGTATAAAAATCAGACGATATTTACTTGAGATTTTCGAACCGACCCCGATTTTGAGAAAAAAACGTGATTTTTGATTGATTGATTTTTTGTCGATTTGGGTCAAAATTTGGATTTTCATTCAATGAATGTCAATTGCCAATGCTGATCCTTACGAGTCCAAAATGGTGTTAAATTCCAAAATCGGATATATTTTTGCCGAGATATTCCAAAAAAAAATCATCAAGAAAGGTTGACTTTACAAAAGAATCGTGTTTTGGTCAATAACTTTTTTTAGCCCATCGATTTGTCGGGATCCTTACGAGCCTAAAATTGTATATCAATCAAAATCTGATAGTATTTATAAAAGTTATAGGATGGTAGTTAATAACAATTATTTTTGAACGTACTACTTATCTATGTATTACAGTAGGTCAGTTCCTTTATTAGAGCACAATTTTGAATTTTGATTTCCTAACACTTTCAGAGCATTCGGCTGCCTATAAAGGCATTGCAGACGGGACAGTAATGGTTCGCCGTCTTACAGGAGTCCATGCAGTAGGGTACACAAACACAGGGCCAGCAGCTGTGTAGGAATATTGGAAGATTAGATTATTGTTGTTACTGATAAGTAATGAATTCGACAAGCTTTATAGGCAAGCTCTAATACGTTTGTCTACCAATTGTCGAATCATTTGTGGTTTGTCTTTGCTTTTGTAATTTGATAATTTATGGATTTCAGATAACAATAGAGTTGCAATGAAACCTGACTGTGAACTGGGCTGAACGGGTTCAATATCACAAGCTTACCCAACTAGGCACAGCAGCAAGGCCCACATATGTGTTCGTCCTGTGGGCGTACATTGAATTGTGGTCACCACATCATTTCGGCAGGTGGGACAACGTACGAAGGTCGGATCCCTGCCCACTGGCACATGGATAGGTTGTGTTGTTGTGTGTATCAGGACACAGGAACCTGGTGGCTGTTGTTGTTGTTGTTGCATGGGCGGATAGAGTGGCGGCTGCGTCGGACCCGCCGGATACGGCTGATAGGTTTGCGCTGGCACAAACCTGATCTGTGCTTGAGGTGTTGCCTGTGGCATTGGCTGCGGTTGCGTTTCCGGCAGCGGCTGTTCAGTGTACGGCGGCGGCTCTGTCTTTTCCATGATCAGTTTGTGTTCCCTGTATTATCTTTATAAATTGTCACCGAGCAATCGAACCGTTCAGCTGGCTGTTTATTGTTTTACTAAACTAGCCACACGCAAACTAAGGCCTGATAATGTGTGCACAATATACAAAAAAGTCCATGAGTTTGCCTGTTATCGAACTTATCTCTTAAACCTGCACAGCTGGCATAGATTAGCTCGTGCTGACATCTGGGAAATGGGGGACTTTTCAAGTTAAAGGGCACTTTAATAACCTGTTTCTCTGAAAATTGACAAAGTGGCCAAAATGGGCTGCCAACTTTTACTAACGAGTGTAAACGACGATAATTTTATTTCCTATCAATAACAACAATAAAACGATAACGACGGACAACTGGCATTTGGTGCACACACTTATTAGACCTTATCATCTAATGTTCCTAACATTTTCCAAAGGTTCGCACAACAAAATTCGTAATTAATGACTAAAATGCAACATAGTTTTGGTTCTAAGTGCATATCCTGTAATTGCGTCTTCTGGCGCCAAGACAGGTTGCTTAGCAATTCCACCCGCAAGTGTGGAAAATTCGTGAAAACAGTTACATGAAACTCATTTTCAAAGATCTTTGATACGCACTTTATGCAAAATACAATCCCTCATGGGTGGAAAAGTAACGAGCGTGTTTACGGGCTCAAATTCCTTTCTCACAATCCTTCTAGGCAATTATTTGGATGGATTTTTAAAGTCCAATCCACGGGCATAAAATGGGACAATTATTTTGTTTGCACTCTTTTGTTTTTCATTCGATTGACAGCTAATTCGTTTGAAAATATCTACATATGTACATTTTATTAAAATGTCGAAAATTCTAAGAAAAAACTTCTATAGATTCAGTCGTGATCGTGGTGCTTTAATTTGAGACTTTAGCTTATTTTAAAATACAAAAATCGTTCTTAAATGTAGGTCCTGGGTTAGGCTAGTTCTCGTAGGTGCCAATATAGGCGCCGCAATTGGGGCAGGAGTGCTCAGCGTTCTGGCAGGAGTCCATGCAATAGGGCACACAAACACAAGGCCAACAGCTGCAAGGGGAATAAAAGAAAAAAATCATTTCGAAATGTATTTCCATTGTCAGTGCACTCAACAGGCGTGTATGATTCATGCATGACTAAACTAGCTCAAATTGGCACAGTGCACAGATGAGTCATGCGCCGAGCACTTGGAGCCGAGCAACTTACAGGAACAGGCACAAGATCAGGGCCCAGCAGTGGGTGCGTCCCGTGGGCGTGCGCTTCACATTGGTCAGGATGTCGGCATGGCAGGAGGGGCACTGGACACGCGATGGATCGCTGCCAATGGGCACCACATTCGTTGTGGTAGTCGCATGGATCACCACATGGGGTTGTCCCGGCTGGTAGGTCTGCGCTGGCGTGTATCCCTGGCTCATGTTGCTCTAAGAATCCCAACTAAATGTTCACTGTTCAATGGGTTTCGTTACACTGCAGCCTATATAGGTGCTTCTGTAGAACCTACTATACGGTTCCACAGTCAGATATCGTGTCGCCTTATCTTACAAGGTGCGGTGCCATAACTGATAAAAAAAAATAGAATGAGAAAAAGATAGCGAGAGAGGGAGAGAGAGAGAGAACACTGAAAACAATAGGGGACTTTTTACGATTAATTGTCAGAGTTTCGCCTAATGCTAATTCCTCACGTTAAAACGTTGTTTTATTTTTGCTATTTAAGGATTGCTAAATGATATCAATAGGTCTGACTCATGGCTGAAAAGTGGTTCGTAGAACAATGATTGTTGAGCGCGTTTCGTTAGGTATTTACGACCTGCCTTTTCTATAAACTTGACTCATTTCAACAGTTGGTAAACATTTGGAAACTGTTGATAAGCCCAGCAGCACTTTAAATGGGTTATATATCTCTCCCTGTGTGCTATTTGATCTTGATAAATTTACTGAATGGGGCTATTTCTTGTTCAATTATCTCATTATCTTAGATAACTAAACGAACTCAGTTAGCTAGAGATAATACAAGTTGTATACATATATAATATAATTCTGATTTCATTTAATTTCTACTCTTTTCTGGATAAAAAAGGCCCAAAAAAGGCATCGCAAAAGAGCATTCCCATTTGTGAATATAATACTATATAAAAAATGTATTTAGCTTATCCGATACCAAGCCATTTTGTTCGATCTGTGATACTATATCTATAGTATAGTCCCTTCTAGAGACTTGACTTTGAGAACGATCATATTATCGTATATATCGAATTTAGATTAGATTTTTGGGGGCTCATCTCAGAGATCAACTAACTAGAGACACCAAATTTGTTATAAAGGGACACGAATATTGAACAAAGATTCAGAAAAATAATCAGGAATGTGCAGCTCGGCGTTGGGTGCAGGGTATCTCCTAGTCGGGCATCTTTCAAATATTATCTTTATCATGTATATAGATTAAGTTATGAACTTAACTCATATTTATTATCGGCTTGTACTCTTGATAATATATGAGAAACCTGCTAAAAAAAAAGACGACAACCAAAAATGGCCTTTCACTGACATGCACAACCAGTACACCTGCTCTTCCCATAAAAAGGTGAAAAGAAAAAAAAAAAAACACAGCGTATACGTAATAATTTACTTGATATACTCGTATATTTACAGTTCGTTCGAATTCGCTTAGTCGGCAAAAAATATTAATTCGTTCAGACTTAAGATCTATGTAAACATGTGCTTAATTAGAATACATACATATACACGTGTCCATGTGTGTGTGTGGGTGTGTATGTGTGTGTGTGTGTATATGTATATTAATTCTCATAGGTGCCTATGTAGGAGCTGCAGTTGGGGCAGTAATGATTGGCATTCTGGCAGGAGTCCATGCAGTAGGGCAGGCATACACAGGGCCAACAGCTAGAGTTGAAGTAGAAGAAGAAGCATAGGAATATATATTAGTTATTTATAAATATATAGATAAATGCATATGTATATGTTCATAGCGAGCATAATAAAAGGTTTTTCCATTGAAATACGGCATTGTGACAGTTTAACGCAGTTGTTTCTGTGTTATCTGACTGAACTCCGCAGCCAGTTGAGATAACAATGGTACACACGCACGCACACACACACACGCACACACACACACCCACACACACACTTGACACACACCCTTGCACTTTAGATAAGCGTCTGGTTATGTACTGCGACGTATTTGTGAGCGAATGTCACTTGTTGCTTGCGGCCCAATTGCAATTGGAACTGATTCACCTGCTGTCACACACCTACACACACACACACACACACACACACACACGCCTACACACAAGTCACACTTACACAAATAGACATAGAACCAGGGCCCAGCAGTGTGTACGACCGGAGGGTGTGCTCTTAACGGTGGTCACCACCTCCGCATGACAGGAGGGGCAACGTATGCGCGTCGGCCCGCTGCCAATGGGCACCAGATTGGATGTGGTTGTCGTCTGTATGATCACCGTTGACTGCTGCGGTGGCTGTGGCATGGGCGGATACAGCGGCGGCTGTGTGGGACCCGACGGGTACGGCTGATAGGTCTGTGCTGGCGTATAGCCGGGCAGCGGCTGCGGCTGCGGCATTGCGCTATACGGCGGAGGCTGCTTGCTGTCCATGTTTCGGGCTGCTGTGCTTCTCGGGCTGCTGGAGCTTGGCTCGACCGCGCGGCTTGCTGGCTGTCGTTCGACTGAAGCCAGCGAGAAAATCGGGTGCTGACTATACGCCCGCCCAACTTCGCCCATAGCTGGGCCAATTCAAGCCAATTCGGGCGTATCTTATCAGCTGCTTTGCTGCCTGCGATTAGCTGGCAAACACCTTGGCCACAATATGTGCCCAATTGGGTTTAGTTATTTGGCAGTTTGTTGGCTTGTTTCCGCTCAACACTGATAGATCTTAATATACATATTTACACAGAGATCAGTGCGAGCTCTGCCTGCAAAATCCGCTCTGTGACTCACCGTCTGTGACGTCTCCTCGTCTCTGATTCGAGCCCTTGTATCGCTTTAATCTATTGAGAGGGGGCTGGGTTCGAGTATTTCACCATATATTACACTTTCAGTCGTTATATTTTACGCTGCTGGGCATGGGAAATGCACTTGAACCAGGGCACAAGTGTTTATTTTTCATCTCAATTTTCTAAGATATTGTTTAAATATATTTTAATACAGAATTCAGTCAGATTTGAACTCTCTTTTAGACTTGATTATTAGGAATTATCCTAGCATTGATGATGAGGTTGAGATCACAGACTGGCAACCCAATATACTCTATATTCCACTAACGAACAGGGTGTAACAAGATCAAAGATTATGTTCTAGAATTTATAGGTCTGGGTACGATAGAACGAGTGAAGTGCCTTAGTACGTGTACTTTATTTACTCATATTAAATTTAAGCCTCATCATCTGACGTCACGCCAAAGAGACTCGGCTGAAAGCTCGCTGCAAATAAAAACAAGAACGCATGACCGATGATTTAATACCCTTGGGTTGAAATTGCCTTATTTCCGATCCATACGATAAAAATGTTTGAAGAACACGACTTGGCAGATATATTAGGAATATAGTAAAACTAGAAATCAAAATAAAAGTTTACTTTAAAAAATCTTTTTTGACCGATTCTCTATAAGATATAGTAGTCTGTTGTGTTAAGATTTGGCTTCTATGTAATTTTTGCCATTTACATTTTTTAGCTTTTAATTGTTTTAGAATCAAGCTGATTTTTACCGTTGGTTGCCCCTGACTAGATATGTATTGCGATTGTGGATCAAGGCGTGGCCAATAACGGGAGCTTATTTTGCTTTCAATTAACAGCGCTTCTCTCAACAGAAACAACAACAACAAATGCCAGCTATTTGAACGGAGAGCAATGTCAAAGTCTGTTTGATTTTGAGCTTTCAGCGCGCAAGTCGAACAAAAGCGAAAGCTCAAAGACAACGGGATACAAAACATGCGCCGCTTTAGCTAACGTCCGCCTACGCTGAAGCTTTCTGAAAATGGTGAAAGCTTTTCTAGTGGCTGTAGCTTTTGGCGCTACCTTGGCGCTTTCAAGTTCAAACGTTAACAGTTGAGCCATGAAAATAATGTTAGGCAAATATGAAAAAAACTCAGATCGAAGAGCAGGAAACAAATAACAAATAGACAAAAAAAAAAAAATAGAAATAAATTTAAAAAAAATAGCATAAAAATAATGACAACTGGTTTTGAAAATTACACACACAGCACTTGACAAACATTTGGCCGATGTTTTTGTTATTTCATTTTCTTTCTTCAACTGTCTTGTACTTTAACCCAAATTTAAACCAAATAAGAAACACTTGCGCCAGCCAAGCGCCGCAGTTAGCAGACATGAGCCGGCAACTGAGGTTCAGCTTCCAAGCGCCGGCGTCCGAAGCATGCCACTCGGATCTGGTGGAGATCAATTTGAATGGCGGCCGGGCACAGGCCAAACAGCAGTCGGCGCAGGCGCTGGACGAGCTGTTGCAGGCCAGGACTACAGCCACATTGCCCACACACCGTGGCTATCCCTATGGCTACGGTGACACGGATGATGAAGCCGACTTTTATTTCTGCAAAAAGTCAAACTCGACCGGCCAGCTGGCCGAGAAGGTATCGCCACCGCCGCCCTCCGCCACCAACATCAGCTGCCTGCGGCAAATGTACTGTCCCGAGTGCCATGAGCGTCTGCATGAGCAGGGCGTGCGCCTGGAGCGCCTGCTCACCCTCTGGTAGGTGGCCCAAGCCCAAGCCCAGTTATTGGCGGCCTTTGCTTTAGCTCTGTTCTTCTCTGTTGCAGCTGTTTCGCCCTGCTGCCCATCTATCCCTGCTGCATGCGACGCTCCAAGGATGATTGCAAGGTTATTTGCGGCAAGTGCGGCTACTTGCTGGGCGCCTGGAAGCGCTAGCGAAGCGCTTTTGTGTTTTTTTCAATTCGATTTTGTTAAGTTATATATTTTACGCTATTGTTATTGTTAATTTTTAAGCACCAATTGACCCTGCAATGCGTGGGAGAGCCATCAGTATTTGTTTTTATTTTTGACGGAGATGAGCGCGAGCAAGCTCTGCCTCTCTCCCTCTCTCTCTCTCGCTCATATGCCGTGCCTCTCTGTCGCTCTTTTGCTGTGAGTGTTTCTTTGGGCTGATGTGGTGTGCCGCCTGCCGCTGCGCCCAGTCGCAATGTCAAGCGCGCCGAACATGTTGGACGAGCTGGAGCAGCAGCTGGATAATGTATCCGCTGCCACGGCCACACTGGAACTGGGCGAGGAGCAGCAGCTTCATTCGTCGAAGCCGCGTTTGCGCTTCTATAGCGTTGGGCCCAGCACCTATCGCGTGCTCTGTCCGCTGTGCCAGCATCGCTCCCGCTCGGAAACGGTGCAAATGTCCGGCGCCCTGGGGCAGCTCAGCTGTCTGCTGTCCGCCCTGTCCTGGTGAGTGGTGGCATGGCATTCAGCTATTATAATTTGCAACTGATCCCTTGCAGCTGTTTTCCCATCTTCGCACTGAGCTGCGTCTACTCCTGCCTGCAGAGCCGCCTGAAGAGCAAGCGCGTCTTTTGCAGCAGCTGCGGTGGTCATTTGGGCTTCCACTGGCGTCCCATTTAGCTCTGTTATTGCTACTGTTTCCACACTTTTCTTTATTATTTTTTTATTGGCCACAATTTTCGCAAGTGTTCTATAAATAAACGCAGTTCGCGCAGCGGTTGCCAAAATTTCAGCATTTTCTTTTTAATAAGTACGCATATTTCTATCAACGCCTCTTGATTATGCTTCTTCTTCTTCTTGTTGTTGTTGTTGTCTACTTGGAGAACTCAGTCTCTCGATCGATCTCCCGCCTCTCAGTTAGTGGAATTTCGCAGTTGTTATGGCATCGCTTAGTTGCTCAGAGGCCGTCGTTGTCATCAAATGGCCAGCACTGAGAGTCTGGACGGCAGCGCCTGTGATTTTGGCGGTATCTCGGCTGTGCCACAGGTGGGTCATTTGCCACCCGAGCCGCTTGAGTTTGTCTGCCCCGCCTGCCAGCAGCTGCAAACGAGCTGCGTTGAGCACGAGGCCGTCACTTGCCTACAGAAGATCGCATGCAGCCTGAACTGGCTGCTCTGCTGGTGCGTATATATACATACATACATAGTCTCTCGATCTACCAGGCAGAAATACAATTTATATCCATAGCAATCCGATACGGTGGAGCGGACGACAAGACACTAATCATTATTGCAGCGCCTGCGGCTGCTTCATTGGACGCCACATCTCGCTGAGCTGGTACAAACGCGCTCTGTTCCGCATGCAGCGCTCCGAGGTGGAGGACCATGGACGCTGGCAGCGTTTTCGCAAGGTGGAGAAGGAGCAGCTGGACGAAAAGAAGCTGGGCAAGCAGCGTGCCGCGCTTAAGCAGAACTAGACTCACGTTTTTTTTGATATTTTAAATAACATTTTTAATAAACAACAAATTAATAACCTTTCGACAGCGAGCCACTGATTCATTTGAATAAAAGGCTGATTGTGTTCATAACGGATCTTTGAGCTAATGGGCATCCTAGCACATTGAGCAGTGTTGCATAACTTCATTTAAAATTCTAAACTAGAAAGCAGCGAACCAGTGATTCATTTGAACAAATAGCTCCGATCAGATAATGAATGCCAAAGCTCGCTCAGCTGCTGTTTGTCTATGAAAAAGCGTCGCTCGCGCTGAATTTTTGCTCTGTTATGACGTCACGAGCAAACAAAACGTGCTGTAATTGTAATTCTCATCACGCTTATCGCTGCAGCGCTGTTATAAGCATATAGAATCCAGCAGATCGGCAACAGGAACACACTCTATATAAGTTTTAGCTACAGACGAATCGCTTTCAAGACTGGAACAGACGCTCTTGTTCAGTTTGCCCGGGCATTTCGCCAGAGATAGTGCTCTAGAATGTATCTCGTCTTGCTGCTGACCATATTGCTGGCGCTGCTGGTGCAATATTTAAGACGCATTTATAGCTATTGGCAGCGCGAGGGTGTGGCCGAGGAGCCAGCCAAGTTTCCCTTTGGCGTTTTGGATAAGCTGGTGAAACGACAGCGCGGCTTTGGACTCATCATAAGCGATGTCTACGAACGCCACAGCTCAAAAATTGTGGGCATCTATATGATGCACAAACCGACTCTCTTGGTGCGCGATGCCCAGCTGGCCCGCCAGATCATGACCAGCGACTTCAGTAGCTTCCACGATCGTGGCATCTATGTGGATGAGAAGCACGATCCGTTGTCGGCCAATCTATTTAATTTACAGGGTGCTTCGTGGCGCAACTTGCGCAACAAACTAACACCCTCGTTCTCCTCGGGCAAGATCAAGGGCATGTTCACAACGATCGACGATGTGGGCGATCGACTGGTGCAGCATTTGATGGGCGTCATAGAGAAGGCACCAAATGAAGCAATTGAAATCAAGGAGAAACTCACAACCTATGCCGTGGACATTATAGGCTCGGTGATCTTCGGCCTGGAGATCGATAGCTTTACCAATCCCAAGAACGAGTTTCGCGCTGTCAGTGATTCCCTCTTAGTGGAAGACGAATTGGTGCTAAAAATTCACAACATGGCCTCGGTAATATTCCCTCCGTAAGTATATTCAGCCAGATCGTCTACAAATCAGTCCTATCCCATGATCTGCTGTCATCAACAGACTTGCCAAGCTCATGAATCGTCTTGGCTATGAGAATAAAGTACTTGCCAAACTGCGTGACATAATGCAGCACACCATTGAGTTCCGTGAGAAGCACAATGTCGTACGGAAGGATTTGCTGCAGCTGCTCATACGTCTGAGGAATACGGGCAAGATCGGCGACGACGATGACGAGGTGTGGGACATCGAAACGGCGCAGGAGGAGCTAAAGGCCATGTCCATTGAAAAGATTGCAGCCCAGGCTTTTCTATTTTATATAGCTGGCTCGGAGACCACGGCGGCTGCATCTTCCTTTACGCTCTATGAGCTGGCCATGTACCCAGAGCTCCTCAAGGAGGCACGCGACGAGCTGGATGCAGTCATGAAACGTCACAATCTTGAACGCGGCGACAAGTTTACCTACGAGGCGGTGCAGGAACTTAAGTTCTTGGATCATTGTATTTTGGGTAAGGATCATCAAACTGTGTATAACTTGATCACCAATCAATTGCAATCTGTCCCACAACAGAAACCATACGCAAATATCCTGGCTTGCCCTTCCTCAATCGCGAGTGCACTCAGGACTTTACGGTGCCTGACATCGACTACACCATCAAGAAAGGCACGCCCATTTTGATATCACTCTTTGGCCTTCAGCGCGATCCCAGCTATTTTCCCAATCCCGAGGGCTACGATCCTCATCGATTTGATGCTGATGTTATGAACTACGACCAGACAGCCTATATGCCCTTTGGCGAGGGTCCCAGACACTGCATAGGTGGGTAGTATCCGTTATCCAATTATGCTTCATTTTACTTAAAAGAGGTGTTTCTTCTTTGACAGCTTTGCGTATGGGCAAGGTCAATGCGAAGGTGGCTGTGGCCAAAATACTTGCCAATTTCAATTTAATAGAAGCACCACGTAAGGAAGTCAAGTTTCGCTTTGATCCTGCGCCTGTGCTTCTTCCGGAGGGAGGCCTGCACGTGCGCCTGGTGAAGCGTCCCTGAATGCCAAATGTGTGCCATGTAAAACTATTTGTAAATTCGATTAATCATTAAATGCAATTTTAAAGCAATTAACTTTGTTTTGTATATCTAAACTGTTTGTTTAGAATAATTGACTGTCGATTGAGGATGAACGCATGAGTCAAAAATGGTATGAAATTGTAAAATCGGACATTATTTAACGGAAATATTCCAAAAAATATTCAAAAAGGTTGAATTTACGAACGAAAGCTATTACCTGAGATATTAAAAAAAAAACATCGAAAAATGTTCGATTTTCGCATCGACCTCTATTTTGAAAAAAAGCGTGATGTAACCTCCTCCGCGCGGAGCTATGTCGTTTTGAAACGTCATATCTCCGCGGGGAATTATGTCGTTTTAGAACGACATATCTCCCGCGGAGCTATTACCTGAGATATTAAAAAAAAAACATCGAAAAATGTTCGATTTTCGCATCGACCTCTATTTTGAAAAAAAGCGTGATGTAACCTCCTCCGCGCGGAGCTATGTCGTTTTGAAACGTCATATCTCCGCGGGGAATTATGTCGTTTTGGAACGACATATCTCCCGCGGAGCTATTACCTGAGATATTAAAAAAAAAACATCTAAAAATGTTCGATTTTCGCACCGACCTCTATTTTGAAAAAAAGCGTGATGTAACCTCCTCCGCGCGGAATTATGTCGTTTTGGAACGTCATATCTCCGCGCGGAGATATGTCGTTTTGAAACGTCATATCTCCGCGGGGAATTATGTCGTTTTGGAACGACATATCTCCCGCGGAGCTGTTACCTGAGATATTAAAAAAAAAACATCGAAAAATGTTCGATTTTCGCACCGACCTCTATTTTGGAAAAAAGCGTGAAGTAACCTCCTCCGCGCGGATTTATGTCGTTTTGGAACGTCATATATCCGCGGGGAGTTATGTCGTTTTGGAACGTCATATCTCCGCGGGGAGTTATGTCGTTTTGGAACGTCATATCTCCCGCGGAGGTATGCCGATTTGGAACGTCATATCTTCCGCGCGGAGGTATGTCGTTTTGAAACGTCATATCTCCCGCGGAGGTATGCCGATTTGGAACGTCCTATCTCCGCGCGGAGATATGTCGTTTTAAAACGTCATATCTCCGCGGGAAATTATGTCGTTTTGGAACGACATATCTCCGCGCGGAATTATGTCGTTTTGGAACGTCATATCTCCGCGCGGAGATATGTCGTTTTGAAACGTCATATCTCCGCGGGGAATCATGTCGTTTTGGAACGACATATCTCCCGCGGAGCTATTACCTGAGATATTAAAAAAAAACAAAAAAAATGTTCGATTTTCGCATCGACCTCTATTTTGAAAAAAAGCGTGATGTAACCTCCTCCGCGCGGAGCTATGTCGTTTTGAAACGTCATATCTCCGCGGGGAATTATGTCGTTTTGGAACGACATATCTCCCGCGGAGCTGTTACCTGAGATATTAAAAAAAAAACATCGAAAAATGTTCGATTTTCGCACCGACCTCTATTTTGAAAAAAAGCGTGAAGTAACCTCCTCCGCGCGGATTTATGTCGTTTTGGAACGTCATATATCCGCGGGGAGTTATGTCGTTTTGGAACGTCATATCTCCGCGGGGAGTTATGTCGTTTTGAAACGTCAAATCTTCCGCGCGGAGTTATGTCGTTTTGAAACGTCATATCTCCGCGGGGAATCATGTCGCTTCGGAACGACATATCTCCCGCGGAGCTATTTCCAGATATTAAAAAAAAAACATCGAAAAATGTTCGATTTTCGCACCGACCTCTATTTTGAAAAAAAGCGTAATGTAACCTCCTCCGCGCGGAGCTATGTCGTTTTGAAACGTCATATCTCCGCGGGGAATTATGTCGTTTCGGAACGTCATATCTCCCCGTGGAGTTATGTCGTTTTGGAACGTCATATCTCCCCGCGGAATTATGTCGTTTTAAAACGTCATATCTCCGCGCGGAGTCCAAAATGGAGTTATGTCGTTTTGAAACGTCATATCTCCCCGCGGAGTCAAAAATGGAGTCCAAAATGGAGTTATGTCGTTTTGAAACGACATATCTCCGCGCGGAGTCAAAAATGGAGTCCAAAATGGAGTTATGTCGTTTTGAAACGACATATCTCCGCGCAAAGTCAAAAAAGGAGTCCAAAATGGGGTTATGTCGTTTTAAAACGTCATATCTCCGCGCGGAGTCCAAAATGGTGTTATGTCGTTTTGAAACGTCATATCTCCGCGGGGAATTATGTGGTTTTGGAACGACATATCTCCCGCGGAGCTGTTACCTGAGATATTAAAAAAAAAAACATCGAAAAATGTTCGATTTTCGCACCGACCTCTATTTTGAAAAAAAGCGTAATGTAACCTCCTCCGCGCGGAGCTATGTCGTTTTGAAACGTCATATCTCCGCGTGGAGTTATGTCGTTTTGGAACGTCATATCTCCGCGCGGAGTCAAAAATGGAGTCCAAAATGGAGTTATGTCATTTTAAAACGACATATCTCCGCGCAAAGTCAAAAAAGGAGTCCAAAATGGGGTTATGTCGTTTTAAAACGTCATATCTCCGCGCGGAGTCCAAAATGGAGTTATGTCGTTTTGAAACGTCATATCTCCCGCGGAGGTATGCCGATTTGGAACGTCCTATCTCCGCGCGGAGATATGTCGTTTTAAAACGTCAAATCTTCCGCGGGGAGTTATGTCGTTTTGGAACGTCATATCTCCGCGCGGAGATATGTCGTTTTGAAACGTCAAATCTTCCGCGCGGAGTTATGTCGTTTTGAAACGTCATATCTCCGCGGGGAATTATGTCGTTTTGGAACGACATATCTCCCGCGGAGCTATTACCTGAGATATTAAAAAAAAAACATTTAAAAATGTTCGATTTTCGCACCGACCTCTATTTTGAAAAAAAGCGTAATGTAACCTCCTCCGCGCGGAGCTATGTCGTTTTGAAACGTCATATCTCCGCGGGAAATTATGTCGTTTTGAAACGTCATATCTCCGCGGGGAATTATGTCGTTTCGGAACGTCATATCTCCCCGCGGAGTTATGTCGTTTTGGAACGTCATATCTCCCCGCGGAGTTATGTCGTTATAAAAACGTCATATCTCCGCGCGGAGTCCAAAATGGTGTTATGTCGTTTTGAAACGTCATATCTCCGCGGGGAGTTATGTCGTTTTGGAACGTCAAATCTTCCGCGCGGAGGTATGTCGTTTTGGAACGTCATATCTCCCGCGGAGCTATTACCCGAGATATTAAAAAAAAAAACATCGAACAATTTTCGATTTTCGCACCGACCTCTATTTTGAAAAAGAGCGTGATGTAACCTCCTCCGCGCGGAATTATGTCGTTTTGGAACGTCATATCTCCGCGCGGAGGTATGTCGTCTTGGTACGTCATATCGTCATATATCTTTAAACAGCAACTAAACCATCACGAAGGGAATTGTGGTTGAGGTTAGTTGAGGTTAGTTCCAAGCTGGCCAAGATACTTGCCAGCTTTGATTTTATCCAGGCGCCACGCAAGGAAGCCAAATTCATCTTCAATCTAGAATCTGCCGAGGGGGAACGAAGTGTGTGTAGGGCAAGAATTCTATAAACAAGAAAAATAAAACGCAAAAACATTTTTGAAATCTGACAGCTCAAGTGGTCCGTGTGTGTGCATGCCATAAACATATATAGATATAGATAGATATATATATATATATATATATATGCATATATTAGGTAGTCTGGCAGCCGATCTATCTATGGTATTTCGTAATGTGTGACGCTCCGAAATGCTTCACATTTGTTAAGCAAATAAACAATAAGCAATTTGTTTGTTGCTCTGGTTTTGGTTCTGGTTCTGGTTGGCGTGCCACACAGAATAGCTCCAGCCGATGATGACATCATATGCGATCCACACACAGAGCAAGAGATACAGCATTGCGCATACGCCTAGTGAGCGAACGCCCGCTCCCGCTCCCGCTCCGAGCTGCTCTTGGCTCGCTTAACGCTCGCCGCTGAGGGCAGCCAGTGTTGCCCAGCCAGTTACAATGGAGACGCAGACGCTGCAGATCAGACTGCTGCCGGCACAGACAGCCGAGGAGCGTGCCCGCAACATAATAGCCAATGTGGTTGTCGAGGGTCATCAGGCCGCGCTAGTGCCCTACATCGATGAACATGTGGGCCAGCCGGCCGAGAAGCGGACGCTGCTCAACCAGCTGGAGGCGGCACCTGCTCCGGCACAGCCACGCCTGCGCTACTACAAGCCGGGACCCTCCACCTACAAGCTGCTCTGTCCGCTGTGCCGCGAGAGAAGCGATGCGGCCGTAATGCGCGCCGCCGGCTGCAAGGACGCCAGCTGCTGCCTGAGCCTGCTCTCCTGGTGAGCTCCAACTCCACTTTGTGTAGCCAGGCAATTAATTTGTATAATTTTTCTGCTCAGCGTGTTTCCCATCTTTTGGATCTGCTGCATTTGCACCTGGTGCGGCTGCAATCGCGAGTGGACCACCAAGGGCGTCTACTGCAGCCGCTGTGGCGGCAAGCTGGGCATTCAGAGCAAGTCCGATTAGGTCAATTAAATTGATATAAATGCCACACATAGTTTGTTTTAATTCTATTACGCATCTAACTCAATTAAAGACCCGCTCGCTCGAGCTCTCCCTCGTTCCCGCTCTCGCTCTCACGATCTCTTTGTGTCTCACTCTCTGGCATTCGGACGCTCTCTGCTTGCTGTCCAAACAGGTTGCCCCTTGGCTTTAGCCACAATACGCTTTCAGTTTTCAATTTGTTCAGCTATGGCCACCACCACCACGACGACGACGACGACGCCGGGGACGGCTGAGGAGCAGCAGCAGCTGGCAGCTGCGGCCGCGGAGGCGCAAAAGGAGCTCGATATCTATGAGAACTTTGCCACGCCGCTGGCTGGCACTTTTCTCAATTTGCCACACGAGTCCGTGCTGCTCAAGTGCCCCGCCTGCGGCATCAAGGATCACAGCGTGCTGCAAAACGATCTCAAGTGGTGGGCCAGCGAACTCAACCGCATTGTGGGCTGTCTCTTCGTGTAGGTTTGCCGCCAGATCCGTTCCGTTCGTGCCGCGGACTAATCTTTGCGCCTTCCTTTCCAGCACCTTCTGCTGCTGCTGCTGCCTGGACTATGTTGTGCCCTGCAAGCAAACGGATCGCAGTCATTATTGTGACAACTGCGGCTGCTACTTTGGGCGCGCCATGAAGCGACGTGCTCCACTCAAAATCAAAGCGAGGGCCAGTCAATAGATACCCACACAATAAAAAAGAATTGCTCATATTAGCGCGCCTCTCTCTTGGTTTTTCATCAAATTTTATATTTTTCCACACGCTGCCAATAAACAAACACAAAACGAAAACGAAAAAAAATCGCGCTCTCACTTGTCTTTTTCTGCGCTCCAGAGCAGCTCTCAGTATCCATTCACACGCGTTGCGAGCAACACGCGGCAGCAGCTGGTCTCAACATGGCTGAGGAACTTGCGCCCGTCTATTTTGCCGTGGGCCCCAACGCCCGCGAGATAACCTGCCCCTACTGCAAGGTGCTGGCCAGGACGCGTCTGGTGCGCTCCTGGCTGCGCTGCTGCACCAAGCGTCACCATTGCGGCGCCTGCGGCGAGTACCTGGGCGTCTACAGGCGACCCCAGCTCTGATACCCTACATCATCTTCATCTGCACACTTTATACTGTACAACAATAAAGAACAGGCATTAAATTCCATGCGTATTGTTAATTAATTGCGGCTGAACAGAGCAAGTTTCTCTCTTTTGCGGCCCGCTCTCGGTTGGCTCCGCCGCTGCTTTACGCTCGGCTGCTGGGGCATCGCTGGCGTTAGTAACGCGCCATACGGCAAAGAGTGCGCACCAACATGACCAAGGTGGAGCCGCAAGTCATAGCCATAAGCATCGGCGGCGCCAAGCCCCAAGTGGGCTACCTGCAGACGCAATCCACAATGGTCAACTGTCCCGCCTGCGAGCACTTCGAACCGAGCATTGTGCAGCGCGAGGCGGTCAGTTGTCTGCAGCGCTTGCTTGGCCTGACCAAGCTATGGTGAGTTCACATACTAGAGTTTTTCCAAGGATGCCCACTAAAGTTCCACAATCGCAGCAAGAGCTGGAGCGGACGCGAGGACATCAATCACTACTGTGCCCACTGCGGCTGCTTTATCGGACGCTACGTGCCCTTGGGCTGCTACGAGCGCTGCCTTGCCAAGTCGGCACGTAAACAGGCTGTCGTGGACGAGATGCGACTCAAGACCAAGCCCAAGGATTGTGCGGTGCGCGCCCAGAAGTCCAGGGAGCTAATCCTGGCCAAGCGCGCCGAGAAGCGCGCCCAGCGAGAGGCGCAAAAGCAAAATCAAAATCAAAATCAAACCCAAACTGTGTTGCAATAAGTTCAAAATGGGCTGAATGGTTCTTGTCTTGGCTAAGCAAGCTTTTTTTTGTGGCGACCTTCTGGGTCGCAATTGAAATATATTATTTTTTCTAACTCGCATTTCCAGCCCCAAATGTATGTGTAAATATATATACATATATAGCTATTGGTGAGCTGTTGGGCAGATGCTGTTCCTAGGTGGGCACATATTCGCGATTGGGACGTATGCAGTTGTTCTCGCGATCGTAGATGCCCAGAAAGCTCTTGCAATTGGAGCAGTGCAGATATTCGCGATTGTCGCCCGAGTTGAGGCAGGGCAGAAAGCAGAAGGGCCAGCAATTGGCCACACAGGCCGCCGAGCAGCCGGTGCTCGTATAGAACTCGGAGCTGGTCTTGATCACAGGCCGGCGATTCAAGCCGCAGCTGGGACAATAGATGCAGCCCTCTGTGGGCATCCAGCGCTCAATGGAGCTGCGATAGAACTGACGTCGGTTCAGTTCCTTGGAATCGGTTAGCTTGGGCTGCTTCCAATTCTCCGAATTGGCGCCAGAGCGCTGCTGGCTGCCGGGTCGCTTCTTGCCCTGCAAATCTGGGAATGGCACGCATTGAAGCAGAGATTGGGTTTAGTCAACTGCAATCACTTACAGCGCTCGGCCTCGTCGGCCATCTCTGCCTCGGACATGCCCGTCATTTTGCTAATCTCGGACAGACGCTCCTCGCTGATGCCATGCTCGGCGGCCAGCTTGTGCAGATTCTGCACCTTCTCATTGGACTCGTCAATGATCTCCGGATGATCCTTCTGCACGTGACGCACCAGGCAGCTGGTGTCGTACCGCGAGCACTTGATGATCTTCAGGCACTTCAGGCAGCGCAGGTACTGTACATCGGTGGGTTGTGTTGACATGGTTGATTGATTATTCCTTAGCGATAAAGCTTGCGATATCGATTGACGGTACGTGATATTTCACTTTAATAATAAACGCACAATTTATGAATATTTCTTTGTGTTCGATCGTTGTGTTTACAAAGCCAAAAAGTTATTAGGTTAACCAGCTTCGACGGCAAATTCCTGGCTCACTGGGGTTTTCATTCACGTGAAATAAAACACGTGCTAACTTTGATAAAATCGAATATAAATATATATATAAATAAAAATTAATTTTGTATACCCTTTATACATTGACAGCGGATAAAAGAGGGTATTCAACGGAATATTCCTACATATGCATCAATATTACGTATACGCATTACGCATATAAAAAAAAAACAAAAGATCGGTGGAATAGTTGGATCATCTTTGGCAAAATATTATGTTTTTAAGATATTTTCACGCAGCATATTTTTGTACTAAGCCATAACAACTTTTATTTATCATACAAAGCTCAGCATTTGAATTCTTTTAAATCGAATGACATTCAATTTCTCATTTTTTCGCAACGGGTTGGAATCTTTTAGTTTTATTACGCATACTTGTGTATGGATAAAAACAGAACATAATTGCGTAGACTACAAAGTGCAGCAAAAAGTAACCTTGTCTCTTAGAAAAAAAACCCATTAACAAAAATTGTTGCTAGCCTGCAGCAGACCGAGTTATCGTACAGCAGAAAAGCAGCGCTCGCAGCTCGCATAATTCCATTGAAGCGTCGAAATTTTATTGTCTGTCATGCGCCCCAAGGAGCTTCATTCATTTTTTGTCATGGCAACAAATAAAGTCATATGGATTTGCCACCTCCACGCAAGCTGCGCCGGCTGCCTAGGCAAATGGTTGCCTATGCCGAGTACTTCCACTCCAATTGTTGGGGGTTTTGCCTTTATTATTTTCCTTTCTTTTTTTTTTTTTTTTTGACGCGTTTCGTCAAAATTGATTTTTTACAGGATGGGGTCGTCATTTGGGTTGCGTGGCTTTCACTTTCACTTTGACATTCGCACGATTCACTCAGCGACTGACTGACTGACTGTCTCGCAGCTTGTTATTTGTGCGCGTTACTCATACGCAGCGTGGTGCGGTGGGAAAAAGCGAACGCGTCTGCATTTCTTTACGTACTTCACGTAATTGCCGCCTTTGTCTGCCCGCTTCAGCTCGTCATTAGAATCGAGTCGTGGCTGGTTTCCTGTTTTATTGGCCAAGTGCTGGGGCTCATTGAGCTATTGACGTATTGAAAATGTTTAATTAAAGTTTTCTTTACATTTTATTATAAGTAGTTTTGCTTACACATTTAACTCTCGTACATTTACCAGGCTAATATAAAAATACAGTTTTCCACTTGTGTGTGTGTTGTTTAAGTTCTTGTTTTTGTTTTTGTTTTTCTTTTGTTTACAATTTGTATTTGAAGTTTCGGCTTTGGAAGCTGTTTTACTCCTAACACTGAATTACTTAAATACAATTACAATTCGCTGACTCAAAAAATGTTAACATGAATTTTCGTTACTGTTGCTCCTCTGCTCTCATTCCCTGTACATACACGCACACAGACACATACATAAATTGTATATATATATATATATGTATATATATATGGTATATGGTATATATCGTACTTTTACACAGATAACTAAAGGTAGCATCCACGGCACAAAAACATTGAGGTGCACCGAGGTGTGACTAATAGGAAATGCGTTTTTTGTTTTGTCTCTCAATTTTTTCCTGCTCGTTCTCTTTCCTTCTCGCAGCATTTTCAGCAAATGTCTCTTGGTGGTTGTTGTTGTTGTTGTTGTTGTAGTTGCACATATATATATTTATATATAGGTAAAAATATATACGTAGTTGGACCTAAGCGTATCTCAAACGGTTATAGATTTAGAAAAATAAAATCTAGCTTGTAAAATTGGACTATTGCCGAGTCGCATTCACAATGTCAGCTCAGCTTGCATATGTACAACGATTCTTGTCTCTTGCAAGTTAATTCACATATTTGTGCTTTAGTTGGGTTTAAGTTCGAGTTCGAGTTCGAGTTCTCGAATCATAGCAGTTCCCCTGTCCCACTGCGTTGTTTCAGGCCGGCTCCTAACCTATCTACTTTTACACACTTTGAGGCACATTCAGTTTGAATCATTTTATAAATTTATAAAGTTGCGCTACAAAAAAAAAAAAAAACAAAACCTAACTCGAAAAACTCGACTGACAAACATTCTACACTCCTTCCCCCCTCCCTCCCTGCACCTGCTTTGGCGCGTCCTAAAACTAATTGTAAAAATTAAAAATTGATTTACACGCGCACGCGTCGAGTTGGCGCCCAGCCAAGTCGCAGCAAACCTTCCCCCCGGCCCTAGCCCCAGTCCCAGCCACAGTCCCAGTCCCAGTCCCAGTCCCAACCACAAGCTACTCCGTTGCAAGTTTTTAATCTGCAGCATGATTCTCCATGCTCGTAACTCCGTCAAGCTTAATGCATTTATCACCATCATTCAGCAGAGCGGGAAACGCAGGCATATGGAATAGGCGACATTTGGAATGTCGCCATGCGGATGTCCCTGCTCGGGCGCCTGGTTCGGGCATCGTCGCCTTAGAGCGTATTCTGTTTGGCCGCCTCGCCGCATTTGGCAGCCGATTCAAGGCGCGCACGTGGGCGCCGCTTGGTCTGCAGGGAATACAGGCGACCGCTGCGTGAGCGCATCTGCGGCTCCGCCTCCCGTCCACTGGAGCCACCAGCGTAGCCACCGCTACAAACGATAAAATGTCTATTAGGAGCAGCCGAAGTGCAAACATGTTAAGTCACAAACTCACTTGAGCTCCAGCTTGGCCAGGCGCTGTTTGATTTTGGCCTGGCTGGCCGTGTACTCGGCAAGCAGGCGGGCCAGTCGCATGTTCAAGTTCTCGACGGACAGCTCCAGTTTCTCGATGCCGCCCTCGATGCTGTCGTGCACGCGCTGCGAATCTGCGAATCAAAGGCAAACAGAATG